TTTGGGGCTTGGGGCTTAGGGGGGTTTGGGGCTTTCCGTGTTTGGGGGGTTTGAGCTTTTGGTGGCTTATGGAACATCGACAGAAAGCTTTGCCCTCCGAACCCCGAAAGCCTCCAAGTCAGAAGCCCCCCAAACCCGAAAGCCCCAAAGCCCAAACCCGAAACAACAACCCCACACTCGGGGTTTGTGGCTTGGGGCTTTGGGACTTCGACTCGTAGGCTTGTCTTGGGGATCTTGGGGTTGGGGTTTGGCGGCTTAGTGGCATCGGAGGTTTGGGGTTTTGGCGGATTCGGGGTTTAGCGGGTTTGGGGCTTTGGAAGTTTCAGGCTAGTCTAGGGCAACCCTCCGCGCGGCCGATCTTTTCATTCACTAATACTGGCACGTGCTGGCCGAATACGCAGTAGCCTACACTTACACTTGGTTACACGCTAATTAATCCAAAACCCGGCCTATGCCTGGGATGAGACTACTGCCACCCTATAGCTAAAGCACTAACCCCTAGGCCCTATGCGCATTCGGACCAGCGAAACTCACCCCTCATGTGAAACCCACATCGGCTGCCCTGTGGCGGGATTCATCGAGATTGATGCTCTCTGTGCCGTGGTGCACTCTGTGCGTGTGTGTGTGTGTGCTGTGGTGAGCTGTGTGTGTGTGTGTGTGTGTGTGTGTGTGTGTGTGTGTGTGTGTGTGTGCGGCTGTGTTGTGTTGTGGCTCTGTCTGTGAGTGATGATGTGGCCCTGGCATCCCTCTCGCCTGAATCACTACGACTGGAATCACTTTGATCCCTCTGATCCCTTTGCCGCCTGTGCCTTACGCTTGGCCCAGGCCTTGGGATTCTCAAGCCAATCAGGCCAAACCCACGTGCGGGGGATTGGACATCCCGGCCCAGGGTCTTCGTGTCCCTCCAGCATCTGGTGCAATCGATACCGCAGCCTCTCGCGCATCTGGGTCAGATATTTGGCATCCTGTGACATATTCTCCAGCCGAGCGTACGCTACCTGCAATGTTCGTCCGGCCAGAATCCCCAAAAAACCCTAAACCCTAACCCCTATACTATAACCCTGAACCGTTTTGATGTCCCAGCCTTGGCTGAGTCCTCCGCCTTCACCTTGTCCTCCTCCGCCTGCTTCCTGATGCTTTTCTCCTGCTCCACCTCTGTCTGATTCTCCAGCATTGCGCCAACGGCAGCCGAGACCGCGCGGTCATCCTGTGGCCCCAAACCAACCTCTAAAATCAACTAAAACCCTAAGCCTAAACCGCTGCCCCGAACAATAACTAACGAACCAAAACACTTTCAGAACTGCTGGCCTCCTCCTTCGCCTGCATGGGATATGGGCTGGAGCGGGCCACTTTATGCGGAGGCTTACGGGATCCTACAGGTGTGCATTGCCATCTTATTTTTGCCCAAGCCAGACCTTCTTCAGCTCCGCGATCTCTGCCTGAGCAGTTTGCAGCTCCAGTCTGAGGTGCTCGTTGTGGCGCACGACATCGTCTATGTTTGCCTTTTTTTGAGCACGGACTGCAATGCACCAAGCCCTTGACCTCACCGGTATTATTATAGGCTGCGAACCCGGTTGTTTTTTCAGCATCCCGGCCTGCATGCCCTCGATCCTCTCCCTCAGGTCCTTGAAGGCTTGACCGCGAGGTCCAGATGTCGTGGAGGTCCTGGGCTAGAGATTAAATTCTCCAGAATTAAATCACATAAAAGTAGCATCATTACTTTACTGGACTCAGACCCCTAGCAAACATTATGGGTTTTAGCTGTTTCTTACAGATGATAAGAAAAAATGCTGGCGAGCATCCCTCGAAGACGCTGCCAGTACTCGCCAGAGCCAGCAGAGCAGCCAGCATCGAAGTCGCCATGATATGGATCACAAGGGCCAACGCCCTTTCCAACAGAGCATACAGAGCCTTTGCAAGGCCCCCAGTGGCCCATGTGGCCCATGTGGCCCCCACCACACCACTCGCCGTATTCGCCGTGGCCCCAGTCGCCCTTGCCAGGCCACATAGGCCACCACATGGCGCCCAAGGACACTCCTAAAGGAGTCTCGACCCTGAACTGGCCAAAGGTCTATTATCAAGGCCTGGCCCTAACCTTCACCGAGCACTGGCCCTAAAAGCCAAAGGTCTATCAAGGCCTGAACCCTTCACTGGCCAGAAGTCTATCAAACCCGGAATGGGAACTGAACTGTGAAAGGGTGTGAGCGACGACATGGGGGCTCAATTGCATCATTGAATATCTGACTGAAAAGCCTCCCTACAGCTGAATTTCAATCATGTCTCTGAAGCATTCATCCGAATATGGATAACCCAGGATGACCCGCCAACCCGGTCGCCTTAAAAGCAAGATGCAGAGGTCGAAAAGCACGTCGCTCATGCTCCATGCGGGCACAATCGATCAGAACATGTCAAGGCAAGCTGCGATCTGAAAACCCTCCCGAAATATGAACCCTGTACACCCTGAATGGACAGAGGGTTCCGGGGAAGGTGAAACCCGAGGTGAAGCGCTGAACCCAATCTACAAAACCAATCCAATTTCATAGGATACCGAACGAACCTTGTACCTTTTATCCTTTATTTATCCTAGACTTCACCCCCGAATGAACCCTTAAATTGAAAGCTCCGAATTTAATCGACTAATGTGCTGGCACGGTGCATAACAAGCGGCGGCCGCAGTCAATGTAATGATGCCTCGAGCCTCAGAGGGCTGAAGAGGTTCGTAGGTGCGGAGTAGGGTTTAGGGTTTGGGTTGTAGGGTTTAGGCTTTATAGGGTTTGGGGCCTTTCACGTGCTGGGCCTTACAGTGTGAGCTAGAAAGTCAGACAACTCAAGGCCAAAGGTGCAAAGAGTACCCGAAATTTTAAACCCTAAACCTCAACCACAAACCCAGAACCCGAATCCGTGATTCCCACCATGCAGCCCGTACTCCGACTGGGAGAAGCCAGTGTGCGTTTGAGTTTAGGGTTTTAAGGTAGCAAGCCTTAGAGTTTAGGGTTTAGGGTAGCTTAGGGTTTATTTATATAATACATCTAGATATTTCATGCGGCGCACTAGCAGCCGCCCTACACTACACCCCAGCCTACCTGCCCCACACTACTTCCTAGCTGCTCTTGCCCTACCTGTCTACGCGGCGCACTAACAGCCGCCCTAGCTGGAAAACTACCTGCCCTACGCGGCGCACTAGCAGCCGCCCTACTTCCTAGCCTGCTACCTACCCTAGCTTACCTATACCTACCCTACACTACGTGGCCTACGCGGCGCACTAGCAGCCGACACCTATCCTACATTTGTTACATGGTTTGCCTACGCGGCGCACTAGCAGCCGCCACTTACCCTACACTACAGGGTTACTACCTTAATCCCTAAACCTAAGCCCTAAACCCTAAACCTAAACCCGAAACCTCAAACCCTAATCCGACCCTAAACCCTCATGAAACCCTAACCCCAAAACCTAAACCTAGAACCTAAACCCAAAACCCCCCAAACCCCAAAAGCCAAAACCCTAAACCCTACAACCTACAACCCCAAGGCTCCAGATCGGCGAAGTCCGGCAGATCGGCTCCCAGGGACGAGGGCTCCATCTCCTGCCATCCCCTGATCCCCCTTGGCGTGTTCGCACTCGCCCAGTTGAGAAATTGTCAGCACTTGCACCTCTGATTGCATTAGGTCACCAAGGAATTCAGTGAATTCAACATTGATGCGGACTTGCTGATTTCAAGACTCTGCTAGCTCACCCTTTGCAACTGTTTTGCAACATCACCAGAAAGTTCTTCAACGGCCAAGCTCTGAATCACTAAGGAAGGGACCGACCGCAGGTGGTTCGGCACACGATCGGTTGTGTCCTCGCAAGTGCAAGCGTCACCGGAGAATTCCCAAAGCTTTGATTCACTGAGCCCTCCTCCTGAACCCTAGCGCTCTGGAGATTTATCGGCACACTTACAGAACGCTTGCGACGCTTCAAACTGCACCCCTGCCGTCCGGTTTCAGGTTCAGCAAGCAGACATCAGCTCAATCGCGAGCATGTCTAGATCGACGACAATGTCAGAATAGCAAGACATCCCCCAATATTCACATCCAGGATAGGCTAGGGTTATCGCTAAGTGTCGGATAGCGTTGCTTGATGGAGGAACTTGAGCATAAACTCAACCGACACCGAAACCCGTGAGTGCCACGCCAGAAGGAGAGAATGCCAGTGTGCCAACTCTCCGCTGGGTTTTGTAGGGCAAGTTTAGGGTGCTCATGTTCATGGTGACTGGGAATAGGGGTTAACTGGGAATACCGGTTGAGACAGCTGACATTCCCCTTCGGCCCAGGCCTAGTATGCTCAAAGGGATAGCATAGTGCACCGTTGACATGGGGATGTGTATAACGACGATGATGGTCATAAGGAGAAGACGAGTATCTGGTGAAAAGCGCAATGCCCAGCTCTTCTAGCAGCCAATACCCCTGCACGGCCCGAAATCCCAAGGCACTGAACCCCAAACCCACAAAGCCTAAACATGAAGAAACCATGCACGGCGAAGCTCGGGCCCTGGCTCCATTGTTGCGACGGACGCCGTCACCGTCGAGGCCTGAGTAGTCAATTGATTTGGTCGGGGAGCTTGGGTGTTTTGTTCAGTCTGGAATGCAGCTCCGAAGGTTTTGGGGTGTAGAGTTTTTTGTCTGGGGGTTTGCAGTATACGGTTTGGGGACGGGTCAGGGTTGGGTCGAGAGTTTATGGAAGTTTAAGGTATCGGGTTTAGAGTTGAAGACTTTGGGTTGCATCCACCTGCAGAGCTCGCTTTTTTCCTCCGGCACTCATGACCAGGAACCTTTTGGCCCACTACAAAGGCCAGCAAGGCCATGAAGGCCGAAAGAGTGCCCTGAAGGCCGAAGCAAAGGAGTGCCGTGAACGCCGAAGCAAAAGAGTGCCGTGAAGGCCAGATGCCTTTGAGTGCCCTGTAGCTACTGTAGGTTTAAGTGTGAGCCGATTAATGCCGATTATGGTCTTTGTTTGGCCCCTACTTCCTTTGCTTCTTGCTGGACGGCTCCGACTCAGACTGCTTCTCCTTCTCCTTGTCCTTGTCCTTCGCGGCGAGCTGCTTCTCGGCCAGCTTCAAGCTCTTGGACATGATCTTCAGGTCGTCCTGGCACTGCTGCAAGTCCTTCTTCACCGTCTTGAGCTCGCTCTCGAGGCGGACGTTCTGGTCTTTGCTCCTTGGATGCATTAAAAACACTAAGAGCCCCACTAAGAGCCCTAAACCCCAAACCCCTAAGCCTATTAAGGGCAGGGAGCGACTCCCAGGAACGCCGCAAGCTCTCGCGAGAGCCGAAAGCCACATCAGCCTCCCTCTTGAGCTTCTCGATCTCCGTCGCGTTCTCCTGAGGCGAACCCCCAAGAAATTGAAAATAAGTAAAGGCTTTGAACTTTAAACCGGCCGAGCCTTTCGCTGACGCTCTGCGATGTCATAGCGGCCTGAGCTAGCAAGGTGAAAGGATGAGATGTTGTGGTTGTTTCTTAAGGTTGGGCATAGGATTACAGGGTTTAAAAGGATGCCATGATAGCCGGGCCACTCTGGAGTTGCCTCAGCTCTTCGGTCTTCTGTTTCACGGACATGATATTGAGGTCCACGATCTCCTTTAAGTCCCTGGTGGATGTATTCCTCTCTTTCTGGACGTCCTGTGGTTTTCGGTTTAGGGTGTTGGGATTTAGGGTTTAGGGTTTTTAAACCGTAAACCCTGAACCCTAATTGCGATGTCAGTGATGTCCTGACGGATAGCCGAGATTTCAGAGGTCAGCTGCGCATTCTCGGCGCGGAGGCGGTCGGCTTCGGCGCGCGCCTCGTTTCTCTGCCTCTCGAAGTCGGATGCATCGCCCTTCAGGGGATGAGTGACTGAAGGTTTACCCCAAGTACCTTAAGGCCTTCAGGCTTTTGGGGAGGTTTAGGCTTTAGGGTTTTGGGTTTATGATTTTGAACCCGGACCCTGAGCCGCTCGTTGTCTGCCTCCAATCTCTGAATCGTCTGGGCTCTGAAGGACGAGGTTGTCGATGTCCTGCAAAGACCAGGATGCTAAGAAGAGCCCTACACAGAAAACCCTTAACCCCTGGAGCCCTTGAACATACCCGGCCACTATCCCCTGTCTAAAGCAACGAAACGACAACGGTTTTTCGTGTTTGCGAGGGTGCTTCTGGTTTGATGGCTATCAGACTTATATAAGGATTTAAGTTTTAAGTGTAAGGTTGAACTTTGGTGGGGTTTTGGGTGGGTTCTTTGGGGACCGGTCCTCTTCCCCTTGTCGCCTTTGCCCTCTCCCTGGCCAGGTGGCGCATGATGTGGCGCGGCCCAATGCGCAGGTGCAAAGCCCTTGCCGTGAGGAACGCCGGGGTGGCCCCAGCCGCAGCCATCGTTCCAGCCGAAGCCATAGCCGAAGCCACCACCATGTGGCCACATGGCCGCTTAGCTCTATCGCGACCTACAGTGAATTGTGACCTGCTGGCCTGTCGAAATGCCTTCTGTCATGGCCTAGCCTAACCTGGACCTGGAAGCTTCCCATTGCTAAAGCCCGAGCACCGAGCCCCACTCCTGAGAGCCCGTCTGCAAGAATCTTAGGGCTTAGAACCCCGCTGACCCCACAGGTACTGGGGCCTTCCGAATTCAGCACCAGAATGCGAAGCCATAAACCCTTCGAAATTAGGGTGAGGGAGCATGTTGCGGGGTTTGTTTGACTGGCACTGTAGTGTTTACGGTCCGATATTGCATTTAAGGTTTTGCAGTTTCAGATTTGGGAAGGTTATTACTGAACCACGATTTCAATCCAGAAGAAACATTGAACCGGAAACCCCCCGACCCGAGCCTGGGACTAAAACCCAAAGACCGAGACCAAAACCCTGGAAACCTAAACCCGAAACAAACCCAATGCCGCAAACCCTAAGTCCTAAAGCTGAAGAGCCTGCCGTCTGAGACTCTGACCGGCACGAGCCAAGGCCAGCATCCGCATCCGTCCAGCCTCGGCGAACCCAGAATACAATTCCACTCAGAGCTTAGGTTTAGGGATATCATAAGATTTTCAGGTCTTACAACTCTGAAGTGCTGACACTAGCCTAAGATCCCACCTCAAGGTTTTTCAGGGGGGTCATTAGTGAAAACCGTATCGCGCTCCACATTGTCAGGAATCAGCGGGTTATGTCGAGGCCTTGGGCAAAGAGTCTATCAGGGGCTTCGGTTTGCGGGGACCCAATGAAGGTTTAGAGTTCACCAGAGAATTGGAGCCCTGGGTTTACGGTTTACGAAGGGTTTAAAGCTTACAAGGGTTTATGGTTTTGGGTTGGTTACTGGTTTTGGGTAATGGATTCCGGCAAACACAATAAAGGGTGGGGTCCGTCGCGAAGCCGATCCTGAACCTACAATTCAATCAGAGGCGGCCGGACTTGGGTCCCGACCCATGCCAGGATGTTCAGGCAAGCCTGGAATGCCTGGAGCATCCAACCTTCTCAAAAATACGGATTCTTGGATTTCGGGGCTCCAGTGTTGGAGCTTGAATATTTAGTATGATGTTCTTGGGATGTCGGATCAATGTTGTTAGGCATTCTCTAACTTGACATAGGTGGTGGCATGCTTCTTCAGCTTTAGGACTCTACCCCACACACCAAAAGCACCGAGCCCTGAATCGCACGGGATGCCAATGTCGGCTCTAAAAACTCAAGACTTACCCAGAGCCCTAACAAGAAGCTTGCCTGTCCTGGCATTTCCACCGAAAGCCGTGACCCCAAACCCTAAACGCCTAAGCTCATTATAGAAGCTAAACAAGGCGCCAAACTCCAAACCCCCTGCGTCCGAGCTCCTGGGAAAGGTTTTGGTTTTGAGGTTTAGGGCTTAGGGTTTAGGGACAGGGAACCGCGGCGAAGGGGCATGCCTAGGCCTACGAAAACCTACAACGGCGAAGGGGCATGCCTTGGCCTACACTACAACTAGACTACAATACGCGGCGAAGGAGCATGCCGCCTAGACGTACATCTACGCTACAATACCATACGCGGCGAAGGGGCATGCCGCCTAGACGTACATCTACGCTACAATACCATACGCGGCGAAAGGGCATGCCGCCTAGACGTGCATCTACGCTACAATACCATACGCGGCGAAGGGGCATGCCGCCTAGACAGATAATCTAGAATCTAGATGTCCACTACACTCCGCGGCGTAGGGGCATGCCGCCTAGTACTCGAATTACACTACAGCCTAGGATACAGCTGCAACGAATCCTAAGCCCAGTCTAGATATCATGCCTACGATCCAACACCCCAAGCCCACAATCCCTAACCGCCCAAATGCCGAAAACTTAAACCTTGATCCCTGATGTCGCAGCTCTGCCCGGCCTCTCGACCGTGCCGGAGGCGAAGGCCGCAGGAGCTTTCGAGAATGCCCAGGCTCGAGGGAATGTCAAGGTTTGGCTAATACATCTGGAGTTTTCGGGTTTAGGGTTTAGGGCGGTGGGGTTCAGGTTGCATGCCGGGGCTCAAAACACGAGTCGGTTTGGTGATCAGGGGTTCCAAATGTCAATGTGGAGTCCTTTGCAATGAGATGTTGTACAAGGTTGCGGTCAGGATTTGGGGCTTTAAGGTTTAAGGGTTTTGGTCTTGTTTCAGATCATGCTTGGAGCAATGATTGCCAGCACAAGGGCCGACATGGCCGACGCGAGAAACCCTAAGCTTTAAGATGCCCTAAGCCTATCACGACCCCGATAAACCCGGAACCCGACACTCCAAGTTAACCCCAGGCCCTAGTTTCCTCCCAGCCAAATTATTTTCTAAACCTTTCTTTCCGGTTTAGACCCTTATACCTGAATTTAGACAACTCAAATTATCTTCGAATTTGAGACCAGCCCCAAAAAGTGTAAAGTGTGCCCACTCAGCGAGTAAGTACATTTTGCTGTCATGATATGAGCTGGGCCGGGAGTTATGAAGGAATGACATTGTAGACACAATTCTCGGACCAATCCCGGACCAATATTGGACCAAACAAAACCCCCAAACCCACGTGCAGCATGAGCCCGGGGCTTAATCACCGACCCCCCCCCGGACCCGTGCAAGTTGACACACGTGTCCCACTGAGAATGCACGCTGATCTCGTTATATGCCGTTATTCCCACTGCACCCTTGCACCTCGGCAACCTTTGCATCCTCATCCTCTGGTCTCTTCCGTTTCGTGCTATGTCCAGCATGTCCAGCGCGGTCAGGCAGTCCAAGAGGAGGCAACTTCCATGACAAGCATCAGATGCATCACAGATATCACAGTACATCCACTGCAATCCATGAACTACATGAACTACTAAAGGAAGGAAAGGGAAGAAATGCAGGAAATGAGCCAAATTCCCGAGTGGAGCCTCCATAATCAGGGTACCCTTTTTCCTACTACTCTGTTTTAATAAGGCACCCCAAAAAGAAAAAGGGCAAGAGAGTACTAATGGTACTACTGAGGGACCTGGCAAGGTGGACAAATGGAAAGAAAACAAAGGAATTCCGTTCCCGCAAATTGCCGTGCCTCTACCTTTGAAGTCGATGACCACAGCAAGGCTGCTGAATAGGATCTAAAGCATGATGGCTTGTTGCCGTCTCCATCATCGTACGTCCAGTAAACTTAGCTCTTGGAATGCCCAGTGGCTTGCAAAAAGGGGGAATGCCAGCAGGGGCTCTGGAACCGTCAGACAATTCTCAGAAACTGTCAGAGCATTCTCAGAAACCGAATTTACAAACAGTCGGGAACCGTTCCGAACCGTCGGAACTGTTTTAAAGCCCCCGGAGAGGTTCGAAAGCCCGAAGGACCGAATGGGTCCTGAGATTAATATGATATATATGATTACTGTCATGGTTCTTGAGACCAGAAATCGGAGGACAGACACCCTACGCTAAAGATCCCTTGTAGCCCGAAATGCCCCATTAGCACTTAAGCCTAAAATCCCATGGTAAAGAAGGTGGAATGTGTGGACAATGAAGGGGGAGAGGAGGGGGGGGGGGGGTCATCAAATATGTGGGGCGCATGGTAACCCCCCCCCCCCTGCCACCTATTTATAGAGGGTAGTCATGCAGAGGTCGTACTCGACAGACAGAGCAGGGTCGAGGCAGGGGCCAACAGCCCAACCAAGTGCAGCGAGAAACGGCCCTATAGGGGACCGGGCGCCCCACAGCTCGAAAGTGGAATCACTGACAAGCACATGGGAAAGGGCGGCAGCAAGGACGAGCTCGTCGGCAACACGCCTGTGAAGGAAGGAGCCGGGGCCCGTCAGGGGCGACCTGGCTGGCGTCAACAAATCCAAAAACCTTGCTGAAAATGGACATGAAGAAGGCCCGCCGGTACATGAAGCCGGACACCCAGCCGCCGACCAGACACAAGTGAAGCACGTCCGTGGTGTGCGTGAGCCTGGCGGCCTCGAGTGTGATGGCGGCGAGGGCGACGCGCTTTGCACCAACCAGGGTGAGGCCGAGGCTGCGCGTGTAGTCGGAGCTGTCTAGCTCGACAGTGGAACGCCGGGCGTCAACAACATCCTTTTCGGCTCACCCTAGGATGGCGTGTTCATCGTAGACAAGACGGGCCTTCGCCAGGGCAAGGCAAGCTGCGGAGGGCCCATCATCCGAGACCCGGGGGGCCGAGACGGAGAAGAAGTCGTCTATGACAAGAGCTTGTACGCAGTCCTCGGGGCCACCAACGGGGAAGGGGGAGTTGCTTTGCAGCCGCACGCCTTCGCCGAGTAGGCCCGAGACGGCCAGCAAGTTGCCATGAGCAAACGTTGCGAATTCGACGCCAAGTGCGTCGCCCTGAAGCACTGCGCCAGGGTAGAGGACGGGCGGCAACGACCCTCCCGCCCACAGGCCAGAGGGGCTGTCATCGAGGATCGCAGTGGGCGACAGGGCCTGGAGGCCAGAAAGCTTGTTGCTGCACAGCGGCGGCACCAAAATGTTCCGCAAAGCCCGGTGGGGCGGAACAGCAAGTTGGTGGTAGAAGTCGCGGCGGTCGGTGGTGCATATCGAGAGCCTGTGAGTCCGAGGATCAAGGAAAAGTCCCGTAAGCAGCGGGCCGCTGGGGAGCGAAGCCGACGGGCCAGAAAGGTATCCTTCATGTCGGTTCCTCCCCCGCCTGTCGCCTATTTGGCGATCTGTCAAGGTCGACTTGACCGCGTTGAAGATCCTGACCCCTTGGTCCGAAGAAGCAGGGCCGGCAGCCGAAAGACGCAAGAGCCCCTGGCGGTCCCACAGCCGCGCCAAGGCTAGCACGGGCGAAGGGTTTTCACGGCTGAGGTCCGGGGCCTCATGTTGGAGTGGTCGGCTCACACATGGGAGCAGCAGGCACTGGGGCTCCCGAAAAGGCAGGTAGAACAGGTCATCAAGGTAGTCCGACGGGTCCCAGTTGGCACGGCCGGCCAGAACAAGGCGAGACGGATCGAGAGACCTGTAAGGATTGAGGGCGTCTCGGGACGCGTCCTCACTCAGGGGTGCACCGGGAAAAGCACGGCCGTACTTATCGAAGGAGTGCCCCGCTCGGGTGAGCTGGTCCGAGAGTTGCTCGAGGCGTGCAATCAATTGAGAAGAGCGGCGGGACGCCGAAGGCAGGAAGACCGAGAAGGCTTCGTCGCCGTCGGGGCCACCGGAAGCTTTGACTAGCCTCTCCAAATAGCCAAGGGCCTTTGCCTGAGCTGCGTTGGGAGGCCTCTGCAGGGCGTGAAGACAGACTGGCCGGGAACCGGCGTGCAAGTAGTCGAGGGCAGCCACGGTAACAAAAAGGAGGCGGCGGAGGCCTAGCTTGGTCCGGGCTGTTGAGCTCATCTGCAGGGTGGTGCCGTTAAAAAGCCCGAAGAAGGGCAGAGGCAGAGGGAACAAAGACTTCGAGGGCGCCACAAAAGGGGCCGGAGAAAGGTGCAGGACAGAGCCAAGGAAGGCCCCGAAAGGGGTGCGCGTGCGCACGATGCGAAATGCAAAAGAGAGCGACCAGCTCCGGAAGGAGAGGCGAGGCATCTGTCCAGCCGATGTGGCCCGAGGCGGCTCAGGCTTCGATCGGGCAGCTTCGCGAGCTGGTGCCGGCGGTGCAGAAGAAGGGGTTGCGAGGGTCGCGCTTTAATTTATTAGAACATGGCGCCAGGAGGTCGCACAGAGAGATGACCCGAGGCTGGCCGAGGACCGAGGCTTCGCAAGGTCGAGGGGCATTGGCTGCTGGAGGGAAGGCTCCCGGAGGGGCCGTGACGCAAGAAGGGCTGGACGGCCGGCAGGAGGTCAACCACTTAGGGGGGTCAGGGCCTAAACCACCTAAGGGAAAGCAGGAGTTCTCAAAGTAGGAGGGGTCGGGCGGCCGGCAGGCAGTGAACCACTCTTCGGGGGGTCAAGGCCTAAACCACCTAAGAAATCGAGTCCAACCCAAGTCCAACGAAATTTAATTTCGTTGGACTTGCTTAAAGCAAATCGACCGGGGGAGGAAACGAGGGAGGAGAGGGGAGGGCAAGGGCATCAGTTGTCCTTCGGCTTCCTGGGAAACCGCGGTTTCTTCGGAGGCTTCTTTGCCGCGGCGGCGGTGTCCTCGCCTTGGAGCCCGGACGAAGTGGCCTGGCCGGAAGCTTCTTGGCGTCTGCTGAGAATAATGTCCGTCTCTTTGAGATACCCCAGGGCTATTGTCGCCCATGTTGCAGGACACAACGGGGCGAACGCTCGGAGCCGCGGGTTGTGAGGCGAACCCCGATTCGTGAACACCTGGTGGGACGGCTCGGCAAAGAGGGACAGGGTGAACCCTACCTCGAACTTGCCGTTCTCGGCCGCAGCTTGCTCCAGACACACCATAACCAGGGCCAGCAAGTCGAGGCTCCCCTCGACGTCGTTTGCCAACAGCAGGTCGGCCACCTGCGTGATCATATGCATGATGAGGCCCAAGTCCCTCTGATGTTGATAGCCCCCATGCCTCTCTAGGTATCGGTTGAAGGAGAAGCGGAGAGGCAAGGTCTTCAGGAGAGCCTCGGTCAAGAAGCTGCTCTGGGCCACTGCTAGCATGAAGCCGCCCGTCCTTTGGGCAAGCTCGGCCTGCACCCGCTCGCGCCTGGCAGAGGACCGGGAAGACAGCCCTGGCCCCTAAGTCGGCGGATGGATTAGGTGGCTGACCAACTGGGTCAGAGCGGCCGTTTGCTGAGCCTGCCCAGAAGGGATGGAAGGGCCAGGCAGAGGCCGCGCTCGGGGCGGCGGGCCAAGGCCTGCACAGGCTCCTGTAAGGGGCCAGCTTTCGGGAGGGCGGTGGGAGGGCACAGGCGTTGTGGCCTGCTCGCGACTTTCTCCTCTAGCTCCTGCTGGCGCTCTGCTAGGGACTGAAGCTGGCCACTGATCGTCGGGAGGTGGGATGCTCCCCAGCTGCTCTGCCAGCTGGGCCGTAACTCTCTTAGGGCAGCCCCATCTGGCTCTGGAGCCTCGTCCTCGGGAGCCTCGGGCTCTCCTTCCTGGGCGGAGTAGAAAGCAGCTCGCTCGCCGGCCTTTGTTCGGATCCAGTCCAAGGAGAGCGGGTCGTAGGGCTCTCGCCTCCTCCACAGCGGGCAAGGTTAGGACAGTTGAGGGCCCAAACATGCCTTCTGGATCGACGCCATTGCCTTGGGCCAACAAGTTTGGAGGCACCGACCCAGCAGGAAGCCGCCCTTCCGCCTGAGCACTGGTATGCAAAGGACTTGCCGGGCCCCATCGCCAGGCTGGCCGGCCACCGGAGGACGAGCAACGAAAGGAAGCACGGTGCCGGAAGCTGCAAAGGTCAAGGCATCCACGGCCGTCATGGTACAGAAGGGGGAAAGGGGCGCGAGGCCCCGTGGCAGTAACAGCGGGCTTCCCCTTCAGTGGGAAAGCCGTGACACACCGTCGAGGTGCCTGGCAGATGGCCCACACGGCCTTCTTGAAGCTCGAGAAGGAGAGGTAGACAGCTGCTGGAGCGCCAGAGCTGTGCTGGAGCACCACGTAGAGCCGGTTCCGCACGGAGATGGGAGGCGTGGCGTCCACACACACCAACTCGCCGGAGAGGACCCTGTAGGCAGAGAGGCCGGCTTGGTAAGCCCGGCGGGCCCGATCGGCCCTGCAAGAAATCGACAAGGAGCTGCACAGAGGGATGCAGTCTTCGGCACAGGAAGGCCGGGCGGGGGCTAGGGTTAGGAACCCTAAACCGAAGGCGAGGAGGATCACTAGAACCAGCAGGGCGCTCGGGACTAGAACCTTTAGGGGGGTCCTGGGAACCCGCGGCGGTGCCCTCACTCGGAACGACAATCCAGTCGTCCTGAGAAGGGTCAGCAGAGCGGGCCAGTGCCCGAGAAAGGCTGCCAGCAGCCAAATGCAGATGCTCGATGGCCTCGGTCAAGGAGTCAACGTCGAGGGAGTTAGAAGGGCCCTAAGTACCCGGACAGGCGAGAGCGAGCCCGAGCCGGTGGCACAGGAGGGCGGGCCGGAATGGGCAAGTCAACCCGGAAGAGCTGGTACCGGAAGAAGTAGAGGGTCAGGAGAACCCCAAATCCAACGCCCGACAAGAAGACGGAGAGGACCAGGAGGACCGAAGAAGAGCAGTGGGCAGGACACGCCAAGCCCCACCACCCAGACGACGACCCCCAGGACACAACCTCAAGGACCCCGAGCAACCAGGCTGGAGCCATACACAGCTTGAGCGAGAGACATTTCGTGCTCGTCCTTAAAGGAACACCTTGTGAACCTCTGGCTTGATTGAACCTTTACGGCTCTACACGTGCTCCAGCCCACCACCTTTCCCATTAGACTAAACACAAAACCGACGGCCCACAATCCCTAGACCCTAAAGCACCTGTCTGGACTGTGTGTTGGCGCAATCATCCTCCTGGAGATCGTAGAGGGGTTCCGGATTCTTCACTGGGCTTTAGCAATTTGGCAATAGTCGAAGTTTCCGAAGGTTTCGGGTGCAGGGCCAAGGCCTGAGGCTCACATCTTACACAGCGCTGGGGAAGAAACAGCTTCTGCGAAATGGCTTTTCTGAGAGAGTGGGCATTTCGAAAGAAGCATACACCTGCAGCCTTGCACACCTCAAGTAGCTGGTAAGTTGTCGTAGGGGCTGAAGACCTCCGGTTTCAAGCACGTTGACCCTGATATCATTCCTCTTGACACACTTGACTTACTTGAACTAATGACAGGTCCCCGGGGTGTTCGGAGGTCTCGGGCAGCGAAGCGTTGCGTCGACGGGCGCGCCTGGCTCAGGAGGACGTTGTCACCCACCTCTCATGAGGGGATGCTGCGTTCATTCTGCAGGACGTACAGTTCATTCTATCACAGGGAAGTGCTGGAACGAGACGAAGTCATGCATTGCATTGCACGCGGCCGAGCGCTGACACACAAGAATGCGAGGATTCGGACCGGGAAGTTCCCTCCCCTCGCCTCTCCCCTCCCCTCCCTTAGCCTCACAGACCTGCCCTGAAGCACCCCACCAACTACCAACAGCAACGATCCTTTGAGCAAGCTTTGCAAGGGGCCTGAATCCAACCCAAGTCTTGCAACCTTAACTACTCGAATGGGTGCTCGGCTTCTGACCTCACAGATGTAGCCATCGAAGCTGAACGAGGCCCACGTCGATGAGCTGCTCAGCTCTGTTCGAAGGTGCCCAGCCACCCGAAGCCTCGGAGAGGCTTCGACAAGCACGGCAGTACGCTTTGGGAGCTGAAGTCTGGGCTGCTGTCAACTCTCAGAGGAACTGCAACGAATCTGAGAAGGCGCTCTGGCTTTGGTTCTCTTCTCAATGTGCTACTTGAACTAACCATGACCCATGACGGCTCCAACAAACCTATAATCTGGACGTGCCCGGTTCAGTGGAGATTCTGGCCGCCCTGTACGGAGATGTTCTTGCCAACATCGGCCGTGGACAATGCCTTGCTGCGCCACCTTCTTTCCGAGCAACGACAAGAAAACAGCACACTGACACCGTCCCAGCCTGGACCCGACGGAGCATTTCGCGCGGGCGCTGTCGGCAGCCGAAGTTTGCGGCGCGGCACGTTTCCGGTAGAAAGCCTTCTCCCATGCAGGTGGTTATGCTAATTTTCAAAGGGACAAAATGCTGCAAGAGGGCTTGATTGCACTTTAGCGCGACGACATGAAAGCTCTGACTTCACTTGGTTCCATCCCTGCCAATGGTCATCTAGCCCCCATGATTTCACTTCGACTCTACGTTATCTACGTTAGCTACTCCGGGCCAAGAAGCCCGGTGCAGACTCGCAGGGAGCTCCATCTGCTCACGAATCCATGTATCGTAGCCTCAATGTGTCAATGCAGCTCCGAAGAACACATAACGCAGCTTGGTGAGCATCTAAGGTCCATATGCCGACCCTCCACGCTTCAACACGATTCGGCGGGGCCAGACGCGGAAAGGGAGACGTGTGCCACAAATGCTCCTCCGCTGGATTGCCTTTCACACACTCTCCGCCCCGGTGAGCCCTGAAGTGCATGTTGATACCGAGAGCGTTCTGCATGACAAATCAAATCCAAACTCACTTTGCAAAGCCTTGCGGCTGGAGGCTTCCTTCCGCCAGGGAGCCAACACCATCAATCTCGGCCATGCTCGCACGAGTCGGTCCGAAAGAGGCCTGTCATCTCTGAACTCATCAAGATGGGTGGCTCCAGCTTCAAGTTCATCCTTGTTAAGATGCCAAGATCTAGGCCCTAAAGCGTCAATCCCACATTTGCAAAACTTCCCGACCAGACACCGAAACATAAGGCTGTTGAAAATCGCTGAGGGGCCTAGAAGGCAACTCGCAACTCGCTCCGACACGGTTCATAACCACCGTTTAGGCGTTCAGGTCGAGGCAGAGACCGTGTTCTCGGGGACCTCTGTTTCCCGAGAACCGTATCTCTGGAGTTGAGCATCCGTCACTGTTCACTTCTAACCACCGGAAATAAACCCCGCCACTCTTGGGAGGGCTCGGCCCGGCATATCTCCCACAGCCTGCATCAGAAAATGGGCATCTGCACGTTCATCCGCTGGGGCTGGGGAGTACGGTGTCGTAGTGGTAGTTGTCTTGCATTGCGAGTAATACCTGGCACAGGATTGCTGAGGACAGGTATTTCTGGCTATTCCCGTTCAGCGCAAGCTCAAGCTCGGGCCTCCTTCACAAGTGGCCCTCATCCTAGGCCTTCTGATTGGGAAACTGCGTAACCAACACCATTATAAGCCGACTCTGCCTACTCTTGAATCGAGATACGGGCCGCCGTAGACGCACCACCATCCAGGCTCGCAGCACGTAACTCCCTGCATAGGGCAAGGTGTACTTCGAAACGCTGCTAGAATGGTCTGAGTCCTACTACGTCCAACTAGCATCCCATCTTCCTGCCCCCAGCCTTGTAGTTTATGCCACCACACTGGTTGTAGCGTTTTCGGCACTCGACTGTGGTTGTCGTCACGGTGGTTGTAGGGCCTCCTGCAGTTGTGGTCGGGGAGGGTGTGGTGGCCATGGTGGCCGACGTGATTGTGGTGGCTGTGGCGGCCGTCGTGGTCGCTGCCGGAGTGGTGGTCGGTGCAGCTGTCGACGCTTGGGTGGAGCTGCTTGGCGTGGTGGTCATGCTGGAGGATGTCGTTGCCGGCAGCGTAGATGTCGTGGTGGTGACGTTAGGCAAGCACTGGGAGTAGAATTCACTGTTGGCTATGCAGACAAACCCAGCTTCGCAGCAGGTACTCCCCTCATGGTTGTTCCCGCCACACTGGGCATAACCTTTCTGGCACGGTGCGATGCTGGTCGAGCCAGCTGTTGTGCTGCCCGCGGTAGTTGAGCTTGGTGCCAAAGTGGTCGTGCTGACACTGCTCGTGGTTTCAGTGAGGCTAGCCGTGGTAGTGGAGGGTGCTGCCGTGGTCGAGGGAGGCTCCGTGCTGCCCTCGACAGGTCGACAGTCATAGTAGAAGTCATTGTCGAATTTGCAGAACAGTCCAGGCTCACAGCACCTGGAGCCCTGCCAGTTCTGACCTCCGCACTGCTGAAACTTGCCGCGGAGCTCGGTTCCAGGTGCTGAGCAATCCACCGGTAGAGTGGTGGTGGGCGCAGTGCTCGGCTTGCACTGCGAATAGAAGTCATTGACGAAGGTGCACTCCCAGCCATAAATGCAGCAAGTCTCTCCGTTGTAGTTCTGACCGCCACATTGCGCATACTTTCCCCGACAGTTCTTGGCCTCCGTTGTCGTCGCGGGAGCAGGGGTTGTTGATGTAGTCGCAGCCTCCGTCGTGGTGGTGGCGGTGGTTGTAGTGGTGGTCGTGGTCGTCGTTGTCGTTGTAGCGGTCGTCGTCGTGACGATGGTGGTGGTCGTGGCTACCGTCGTTGTGGTTGGCATTGTGGTGGTCGTGGTCGCAACGGATGCGGAAGCCATGGAGTACCTCAGATACTGGAGCAAATCTCCACAAACTGAGAAGCGAGCCCGGCAGCGAGCTGCCCGATCTAGAACTGTGCACTCAAACTGCGAAGACTTGATAAAGACCGACGAAACAATTCGGAAGCCAGTGGGCCTGCATGGTTCCTTCAAGATCCGTGGGCGCTGCTTTTCATGAATGCACTCGTACAGGTATCCCAAAAATTCTCGCGCTTCCACTGGTAACGTCACGAACACCCAGGCCAGAAGGGCCGAACTGCCCTCCCTCCCCCCCACCCTTCCCCCACGTAACCGGCGCAAGGAGCCTCAAGCAGGTGAAGCCACTTAGTGCCTCTGCAACGTGGCTGTGGACCATCGCAATCATGGAGCTCTGGGTTTTACTTTGACTTGAGGGAGCTGTCAACTTTGTCAGGGCAGAAGTGTGGGCTCATGGACGCGGGCCCTGCAATCATGCGGATTGCACAGTGCTGTTGGAAAGATCACGCAGCTCAGCCCCGTGTGAACAGCTTCTCAATGGCCCTCGGAAGCTTGAAGCTGTCAGCGCGCATGAATCCTGAACGGTAAGAACCCTTCAAGGATTTAGCAATGGAAACCCAGAATCACTCAACCTTAGCTTCGCGGGAAGTTTTCAGACCGTGTGAGCACCTTCACGGCCTTAATGCCCCCAGCCACGGTCCAGACTTCACAGCGGCCAGTGCTGTACCTCTCAATCCATTGATTGGAGAGTTTACAGTTGAGGCCTTCATAGAGACGGGACCCCGACCCTCCATCTGCAGCCGAAAACCCTCTTCTGCATGCTAAGCCCGCAGCCAGAGTCTTCAGCCAGGCCACTCGATACCCTTGCATGCTGGCTCCTCCCGGCAGCTTTGCTTGCCTCAGGTCTGCATGCAACTCTTGGGCTTGTGGAGAGGCTTTTCGACCGCATAGGAGGTTTGCCTGAAAATGCAGGAACAAGGTTTGCCATCGCAGGATTGGAAGAGGTTGTCTCTGTCTCTGCCTCTGTCAGTGTTTGCTTTGCTTCGCATTGGGCATTGGGCCACGAGCAGTCCCCGTGACCCACGCCGTCCCATCCATCATATTGAGGGATGGTCTTGGCTGTACCACAAGGACGTCGATGTTCAAAGCTAGACGATGTCTCTGTCTCTGTCTCCTGGTGTCTGTTGGTGGCACGTGTAGACCCCCACTGGGCTTTGTTGGCAACATCAAATTTGCGGTGTAAGTGGTACAAAGGTTTGACCAACTGATTTGCGGGCGTATGAATCTGCTCCTTTGGGCTCATCCGAGCATGCGCCTCGAGGTTCTGGGGTGCCAAGTAAGCTTGCAAGCCCGAAAACACCTGGTCTAGTTCACCTCTCTGCCATTCAGACGCATCTATGCTGCGAAACACGATGGTGACAAACAGCCAACTGTGTTCGGGTTTTTAGAGCCGGGTGAAACTCCATTCATGCAAGCTGCGAAACCAAAAGACTCAATGAAATACGTGCTAAGATTCTGAGCAAGGCTTTTCTGCCAAGGCATGGCGGAGCGCTCTTCCAAGCACTTCAGGCCCTTCTGCACCCTAGAGTCTTTCTCAGCTATCCTGAACTTCCTACAGAAAGCCTCAACCCACGACAGTGCAGCTAGGCTGGCAATCTTCAATAGAGTTCCCATCCTCAAGGGAAAAATGCTGTCGAAGCATGGTTGGGACGGGTCTTGAAGCTTGCGCACTCCGCTCTTCCAGACCCGCAAGGCTTCTACGACTAGATGTCCTGGGCCACGAAATAGTTGGCGGGATTGTTGTCAGATGCATGTCTGCCACGGCAGGCAGCATCGCCCGCCACGGGATCGGCCGGCAGGAACTGAGCCGGGTCAAGGGGCCAGGTCAGCAGTCTCAAGATCATGGCTTGCGGCTTGGGCTCGCTTCGGAAACATGAGACAGGCACTCTTAGCTTTAGAGCTATGTGGCATGGACCTTTAGGGTCTATTTGGCAATCCTGCTGGGCTTTGTATTTAAACTGCAACAACACCACGGCGACAAGAAGCCACGACGACTCGGTTTAGCACGACGACGACTGGGTTCAACACGGCGACGACAAGGTCTGGCACGACGGTTACATCGGGAGGCCGAAGCGCGTACAGTGTAAAGGTCTCGACAGGAGTTTAAGGGTCTAGGGTCTTAGTTCCTAACTATGGTTTACCGGGGTCAGTATACTATGGAAGATCTAAGGTTTGGAGTTTATGAGGATTTAGATGGTTTTACGCTCTCACAAGTTCTCCGTGCTGGTTTTAGGGTCTATCACAGTCTATCACAATGTCCTCCCGTCCCTCTCGCGCCGGGAACCATCAAGAATCTGTCTTGTGTATTTCTCGTCCTGCGTCTTTCTCTCATTCCCTTTCCTCTTCCTGCCTATCCACTCTGCCGTTTGTCAAGAAGACACAGAAATTGAAGTCATGACAGAGGAATAGGCATGAAGATGGACGAAGTGAACTCTTCATTCTCTCGTCTCTCCCTTCTCTCCTTCCTTTGATTGATCCTTTTTCTGTTTCTTTTCTTGTCGCCTTCTGCTGTCAATGACAGGGGTAACACGAGGGAGGGGCAAAGGGACGACGTCAGTTCCTCTCGACGTGGTTCGTTTTTTCATTTCCTCTCGCGTTGTCTCTCTTCCGCTCTCTCTCTCTCTCTCTCTCTCTTTTTCTCGCTCTGTCTTCCTCTCTGCCGTGTCTCGCTCTCTCATCTCTTCTGTCCCTTCTTTCCTTGCTCCCTTGCTGGAAGGAATAGAAAACAGAAGCGAAGACATAAGATGGAGGAAGATGGTTGGGAGAAGGAAGGTGGATTCCTCCCTCACTCGGCTCTTTGACTTTCTTTGCCCTTGCCTTCTTTTCTCTGCTCCTATCCTTCTTCACAATTAGAAGGAGAAGCGACAAGAACGGAGAGCTCAGGGAGAGCAAGTGACACTGTTCCTCATAATCTCCTCCTTCCTCGTGTTCATTGCGTTGTCCATCTCCCCCTCTCTCTCTCTCTCTCTCTCTCTCTCTCTCGCTCTCTCTCTCTCCCTCCATCCTTTCCTCTCTACTTCTGCACATTTACTTTTCCACTTCTCTCGCCTACTACATTATGCTTGCTTTGATACTTATCTTCAACTTTCTCTCACTCTCTTTGTCCCATCGCTTGCCCTGTTCCTTCTCCTCCTCCCTTCCCTGCCTCCCGTCCTTCTCCCCTTATCACTCAGAAGGAAGAAGGAAGACTCACAAGGAGAAAGACAAGGGAGTAAGAAAACAGACAAAAGAAACGGAGAGAGAGCCATAAGGGACGAAATACAGAAACAAAGAGAGAAAATATGGGGGAAAGATAATCAAAAAGAGAGACAGAAAGAGGAGGCGATGCATAAAGCAGCCGACAGTGCCTTGACCTCCACGTCTATTCATTCTTTGTTCTTGTCCTATCACACTGTCTCATTGGTGATAAACCAGGAAGAGCTTGTGGAGGGAGACGAGGAAGAAGTGTTCTCCTCTTCACTCACCTTGTGCCCTTCCTCTCCCACCGCTCGCCCGCTCTCCTTTCTTTGATTTTCTTGTCTGGCGGAAAAGTGGGAACCAGGAGAAAGAAGAGAGATACAGAGAGAGCGAGGGAGAGCTTCAAGCCCAGCAGAGGAAGAAGAGAGAGGAAGATAAGAGAAGGGGGCAAGGGGTGGCCAGAAGAAGCGTAAGCCAAAGCTACGTATTGAAAGGGCGGAAGCCCCATTCTCCTCTTCTTCCTCTTTGCTCTCTTATTTTTCTCTTAGCGCAGGGCATGCATGGAGCTAGGAAAGGGAAGGGGTCAAAGCGGATGAGAGAAAGTAACGGAGAGAGCTGTTCTTCGTCCCTCTCACCTCCTCCTCTCATTCTCCTGATGCTTACTCATGTCAGAAGGGTCTGGAAAGGAGTGAAGGCTAGGGCATGGACTGAAGCGAGGCAATAGGTGAAAGTGGATAAGAGAAAGTCGGGGGAAGTCGAGTGCGAAAGAAAGAGAAACGAGGAAGACTAGGAAGAAGGACACAGAAGAGGAAGCGAGAGAGTACCAATGTTGCCGTATCTCAAAGGACTCCGGGCCTCGCGAGGGCTTCGAGGAGGCTTGTAGGCGCCTTCAGACACTTCCACAACTTTCTGGAGGCCACCAACTTCCTCCCTAAGGGGGCCTCTTGAGGACATGAACACCAAACCGAGTATAAAGAAAGCAGGGGGATGTAGAGAAGCAGAGTGTGGTAAGAAGGAGCAAGGAGAATCAGTTCGCGTCTCCTCATCGTTTCCTTTTTGAATGACCAGAGGAAAGAAAAGGATAAGGAGGAAGGGCTCTGCGAAGACATAAGGAAAGAAGAGCAGACAACAGAAAGGAAGCGGTAAGATGCGGGAAGACGGTTCGGAGAAGAAAGGAGAATTCCTCCTTCGCTCGCCTCTCTTACTTCCTTGCCCTTCGCCTTCTTCCTCTTCTCTTACCCTATTCATCTTCATAAGGAAGGAGAAATGAAAGGAACGGAGAGTTCAGGGCATGCAAAGGGCACTCTTTCTCATCACCTCATCCATCCTCCTTTTCATTGTTCTCTCCAGATCCCTCTTTCTCTCTCCCTCCCTTCCCGTCTACTTCTGCACATTCCCTTTTCCGCTTCTCTCCGCCTATTATGTTCGCTTTGATAAAATCGCTTGCCCTATTCCTTCTCCTCCTGGCTTTCCTGCCTCCCGTCCTTCTCCCTCTATCACTCAGAAGGAAGAAGGACGATTCACAAGAAAGAAGCGTAAGCCAAAGCTACGTAATGAAAGGGCGGAAGCCCCTGTCTCCTCTGTTCTTCCTCTTTTCTCTCTTATTTTTCTCTTAGCAAAGGGCACGGATGGAGCTAGGAAAGGGAAGGGGTCAAAGCGGATGAGAGAAAGTAGCGGAGAGAGCTGTTCTTCGTCCCTCTCACCTCCTCCTCTCATTCTCCTGATGCTTGCTCATGTCAGAAGGGGTTGGAAAGGAGTGAAGGCTAGGGCATGGACTGAAGCGAGGCAATAGGTGAAAGTGGATAAGAGAAAGTCATAGACAGAGAGTGGGGGAAGTCGAGTGCGAAAGAAAGGGAAACGAGGAAGACTAGGAAGAAGGACACAGAAGAGGAAGCGAGAGAGTACCAGTGTTGCCGTATCTCAAAGGACTCCGGGCCTCGCGAGGGCTTCGAGGAGGCTTGTAGGCGCCTTCAGACACTTCCACAACTTTCTGGAGGCCACCAACTTCCTCCCTAAGGGGGCCTCTTGAGGACATGAACACCAAACCGAGTATAAAGAAAGCAGGGGGATGTAGAGAAGCAGAGTGTGGTAAGAAGGAGCAAGGAGAATCAGTTCGCGTCTCCTCATCGTTTCCTTTTTGAATGACCAGAGGAAAGAAAAGGATAAGGAGGAAGGGCTCTGCGAAGACATAAGGAAAGAAGAGCAGACAACAGAAAGGAAGCGGTAAGATGCGGGAAGACGGTTCGGAGAAGAAAGGAGAATTCCTCCTTCGCTCGCCTCTCTTACTTCCTTGCCCTTCGCCTTCTTCCTCTTCTCTTACCCTATTCATCTTCATAAGGAAGGAGAAATGAAAGGAACGGAGAGTTCAGGGCATGCAAAGGGCACTCTTCTCATCACCTCACCATCCTCCTTTTCATTGTTCTCTCCAGATCCCTCTTTCTCCCTCCCTCCCTTCCCGTCTACTTCTGCACATTCCTTTTCCGCTTCTCTCCGCCTATTATGTTCGCTTTGGAAAGAATCGCTTGCCCCCTATTCCTTCTCCTCCTGCCTTTCCTGCCTCCCGTCCTTCTCCCTCTATCACTCAGAAGGAAGAAGGACAATTCACAAGGAAGAAGACAAGGGAGTAAGAGAAAGACAACAGAAGCGGAGAGACAATCCGAGAAGGGCAGAAGAAGAACGAGAGCCATAAGGAAACAAACACAGAAACAAAGAGAGAAAGTAAGAGAGAAAGACCAGCAAAAACAGAGGCAGAGAGTGAGAGAAAGGAGGGGAGGGGAAGCGATGCAGAAAGCAGTCGAAAGTGCCTTGCTTGTCCTATCTCACCGTCTCATTGGTAAAAAACCAGGAAGAGGTTGTGGAGGAAGACAAGGAAGAAGTGTTCTCGTCTTCACTCACCTTGTGCCCTTCCTCTCCCACCGCTCGTCCGCTCGACGGAAAGAAGAGAGTTGCGGAGAGGGCGAGAGAGAGCTTCAAGCCCAGCAGAGGAAGAAGAGAGAGGAAGATACGAGAAGTGTGGAGGAAGTGGCCAAAAGAAATGCTACGTAATGAAAGAGGGGAAACCAGTTTCTCCTCTGCTCTTCCTCTTTTCTCTCTTATTCTTCTCTTCTCGCAGGGCATGCATGGAGCCAGGAAAGGGAAGGGGTCAAAGCAGATGAGAAAGTAATGGAGAGAGCTGTTCTTCGTCCCTCTGACCTCCTCCTCTCATTTTACTCATATCAGAAGGGTCTGGAAAGGAGTGAAAGGTAGGGCATGGACTGAAGCGGGGGAATAGGTGAAAGTGGATAAGAAACAATGTTAGACAGCTTGCCGAAGGCGGCCAGCTCGCAGCTTGCCTGCGGCCTGGCCTGCTGAGCCTGGTGGGCTCTCGAGGGTGGGCAGGGGCCTGCTGAGATCCACGGCCAGCACGCCCGGCTTGCTTTGAGGCAGGCCAGCTGGGGAGCCTGGCCGGGCTGAGTGGGTTGGGTGAGTGAGTGGGGAGAGGGTGGAGAGGAACAGGGAGAAGAGGGTGGCTGGAGAGAGGAGGTAGAGGGAGCGCAAGGAAAAGGTGGGGAGAGGGGAGGGCGGGTGGACAAAGGGAGGGGAAGAGGAGGGAGTGGGGAGATGGGTGGAGAGGTAGAGGGAGTGGAGGGTGGGTGCGTTCTTTGGATTGTATAGTCTAAGGGTTTTCTACAAAGGGTTCCATATCAGGGATCTGTACAAAGGATCTATAGATTTCTATAAGGAGTATATAAAGACTGTGTATGAGGGCTCCATATAATCGATCTTTCAAAGATTTTTTATAAAGGACTCCATTTGTGGGAAACATAAGCGGTTCCTACAAGTTCTTTATCTCGAGGATCTGTAAGGTTTATATATCTATGAAGCTTTCTATATGGGCTCTATAGACCCCATAAGACAAATTAAAAAGTGATGAAGGTGATAAGAAGATGATAAGAAGATGAGTGGATGGGAGAAAAAGTGATGGGAGGTGAGGAGACATGAGATGGGAAGGGAAGGAATGAGTTAGGAGTGGGGGAGGTAGGAGGCAAGTGAGAGGGACAGGGTGGATCATTTACAAACGCCTTTAGGGGGACGCTCCTTGCGATGTGTGATTTTTGGATCTGAGTTCTTACAAAGCCTGAGAGGGGCACACCCCGTGCGATCTGTGATTTTTGGATCTGAGTTCTTACAAAATATTAGGGCGACACCCCTTGCGATTTGTGATTTTTGAACTTACTTGTCATGAAAACCTTTAGGGGACACCCCTTAAGATCTGTGGTTTTGGGATTTGAATCTTCACAAAACCTTAAGGGGGACACCCCTTGCGATTTGTGCTTTTTGCACTTACTTGTCATGAAAACCTTTAGGGGGACACCCCTTAAGATCTGTGGTTTTGGGATCTGAGTTTTCACAAAACCTTAGGGGGATATTTAAGAAGGAGAGAAGGGAGGGTGGGGGAGGGTGGAGATTCCAGGAGAGAGAAAGGGGAAGAGGAGAGGTAGAGGGAGTGGAGGTGGGGGAGAGTGAGGAAGGTGAGGGGAGGGGGTAGTGGGAGGGATAGGGAGAGGGAGGGAGGGGTATGGGAGGAGGACGAGGGATGAGGAGGAGGAAGATAGTGAAGATGATGAGGTGGATGATAAAGAGGGAGGGGTGGAGTGAGGTGTGTGGTGGGATGGGACGGGGTGGGTGGGCACGGCTGCCTGCTTCCGCACGCCCAGCCTTCCCTGCCCGAGCCGCGACCGAGCAGAAAGCATGTAAATATCGCGCTATAACAAGGGCTAGGGATTTCACACATCTGCTGGCAAAAATCTGGCGGAAGTGACCTGTGGTCCAGCAAAACACCTGTAAATACCGCTTGAAAACAAGGACTAGGGATTTCACACATCTGCTGGCAAAATCTGGCGGAAGTGACCTGTGGTCCAGCAAAACATGGCGGAAGTGACCTGTGGTCCAGCAAAACACCTGTAAATACCGCATGAAAACAAGGGCTAGGGCCTATAGGGATTTCACACATCTGCTGGCAAAACCTGGCGGAAGTGACCTGTGGTCCAGCAAAACACCTGTAAATACCGCGTGAAAACAAGGACTAGGGATTTCACACATCTGCTGGCAAAATCTGGCGGAAGTGACCTGTGGTCCAGCAAAACACCTGTAACTACCGCATGAAAACAACGGCTAGGGATTTCACACATCTGCTGGCAAAATCTGGCGGAAGTGATCCGCCACCGAGCAAAAAGCCTGTAAATGCCGCATTAAACAAAGGGCCAGGGATTTCACATATCTGGTGGCAAAATCTGGCGGAAGTGAGCAATCGGTACTTCTGTCAGATTTTGCCAACAGATATGTGAAATCCCTGGCCCTTTGTTTAATGCGGTATTTACAGGCTTTTTGCTTGGTGGCGGATCACTTCCGCCAGATTTTGCCCGCAGATGTGTGGGATCCCTGGCCGTTTTTTGAACGCGGATGGGAAGAGACAGCAGGCTCCAAACCGCCGTGTCTCACCCACCGCTTCAAGGGCTAGGGATCCCACACATCTGCGGGCAAAATCTGGCGGAAGCGATCCGCCACCGAGCAAAAAGCCTGTAAATACCGCATTAAACAAAGGGCCAGGGATTTCACATATCTGGTGGCAAAATCTGGCGGAAGTGAGCAATCGGTACTTCTGTCAGATTTTGCCAACAGATATGTGAAATCCCTGGCCCTTTGTTTAATGCGGTATTTACAGGCTTTTTGCTTGGTGGCGGATCACTTCCGCCAGATTTTGCCCGCAGATGTGTGGGATCCCTGGAACGCGATGGGAAGAGACAGCAGGCTCCAAACCGCCGTGTCTCACCCACCACTTCAAGGGCTAGGGATCCCACACATCTGCAGGCAAAATCTGGCGGAAGCGATCCGCCACCGAGCAAAAGCCTGTAAATACCGCATTAAACAAAGGGCCAGGGATTTCACATATCTGGTGGCAAAATCTGGCGGAAGTGAGCAATCGGTACTTCTGTCAGATTTTGCCAACAGATATGTGAAATCCCTGGCCCTTTGTTTAATGCGGTATTTACAGGCTTTTTGCTTGGTGGCGGATCACTTCCGCCAGATTTTGCCCGCAGATGTGTGGGATCCCTGGCCGTTTTTTGAACGCGGCATTTACAGGCTTTCTGCTCGGTCGCGGCTCGCAGGGATTATACACCCTTGCCCCCACTCCACCCTCCCGCCCCCTTCATACCTCACTACCCACCCCCCTATCTCAGCCCCTTGCCTCGTACCCCATCACCACCCACCACCACCATCCACCACCCGGCACCCCTCACCCGCCACGCCCACCACCCACACCCTCCCCACCACACACACCACCCACCACACACCAACCACTACCCAGCACCCGCCACCACTACCCACTACCCACCACCCACCACCTACTCCTCCCCATCCCACCCCAGCTGCCCCAGCTGCCAGCCCAGCTACCTTTTCGCCCCCCCGCCCAGCCTCAGCCCCAGCCCCTAGGCCCCCTTGGGGGCAGGCGCTGGGGGGGTGGGGGCGGGGGGGCTGGGGCTGGGGGCTGGGGCTAGGACTGGGTGGGGCGGGGCCTGAGGCTGGGGCTGGGTTGGGGGCAGGCCTGGCAGGGTGGCTGGGGCTGGGGCTGGGGCTGGGGCTGGGGTCGGAGGCTGGGGGCTGGGGCTGGGGTCGGAGGCTGGGGGGCTGGGGCTGGGGCTGGAGCTGAAGATTTAAATTTTTAAAATTCTTTAAATTCTTTAAATTCTTTAAATTTTTAATTCCGGACGATTTCAAAATTTAAAGAATTTAAAGGATTTACCCCTTTAATTTGTTTAAATTCTTTAAAATTTTAATTCCGGACGATTTCAGAATTTAAAGGATTTACCTCCTTTAAATTTTTTAAATTCTTTAAATTTTTAATTCCGGACGATTTCAGAATTTAAAGAATTTAAAGAATTTTAAAATTTAATTCCGTGGGCTGGGGTCGAAGGCTGGGGGGCTGGGGCTGGAGCTGGAGCTGGACATTTAAATTTTTAAAATTCTTTAAATTCTTTAAATTCTTTAAATTTTTAATTCCGGACGATTTCAGAATTTAAAGAATTTAAAGGATTTACCTCCTTTAATTTTTTAAATTCTTTAAATTTTTAATTCCGGACGATTTCAGAATTTAAAGGATTTACCTCCTTTAAAGTTTTTAAGTTCTTTAAATTTTTAATTCCGGAGAATTCAGAATTCAAAGGATTTACCTCCTTTAAATTTTTTAAATTCTTTAAATTTTTAATTCCGGACGATTTCAGAATTTAAAGAATTTAAAGAATTTAAAAAATTTAATTCCGTGGGCTGGGGTCGGAGGCTGGGGGGCTGGGGCTGGAGCTGGAGCTGGACATTTAAATTTTTAAAATTCTTTAAATTCTTTAAATTCTTTAAATTTTTAATTCCGGACGATTTCAGAATTTAAAGAATTTAAAGGATTTACCTCCTTTAATTTTTTTAAATTCTTTAAATTTTTAATTCCGGACGATTTCAGAATTTAAAGGATTTACCTCCTTTAAATTTTTTAAATTCTTTAAATTTTTAATTCCGGACGATTTCAGAATTTAAAGGATTTACCCCCTTTAAATTTTTTAAATTCTTTAAATTTTTAATTCCGGACGATTTCAGAATTTAAAGAATTTACCCCCTTTAAATTTTTTAAATTCTTTAAATTTTTAATTGCGTATATACACAGTATATATTAAGACACAGAGCAAGCCCTACGCCAAATAGGACCTAAAGGTCCTACGTACTTAGAGCTATGGTTCTCAAAGCCTCCTGGTGGAGGTGTGGGCCGAGGACAGCTCTGCCCTTCAGCCCTTGGCATCAGCTCCGCCTCGAGGCGGAGGCACTGGGATCCCGGAAGGGCGGCAGTGCTGCCGATGCCCTCCTGGAGCTGCAGACTTCTGCCGGACTCTCCTAGGACCTAGGATTATTTAGGACCTCATCGGCACTCTCTGAATGTGGCAGAGTGGCTGGCCGAGTCCAAACTTTGCAGTATCCTCCGTCTTCCATGTACCTCGGAGGAGGGGCGCGGTGCCTTCATCAGGTCTGCAGGGCGACGAACTCCAAGTTCAACTGCTGAATGAAAAACATCGGCGTAGCTAGTGTCGAGGTAAACGTTGATGTGCATCCGCAGAAACAGAACCAGGCGGTGGATAGCTTTGTCTTCCGGTTGTGCAGAACTCGGTGCTGGTTACCCCCGAACCTGACCCGCCAGCTTCAGATCGCTGTTCGAACAAGGTACTCGATTCCTTGGCATTGTTGTGCCGCATAGCAGAGGTCCTGCGCAACGGGCAACATTCACAGACCTCCCTCATCAGCATCAGACCCTCCCCACGGCCCGAGCTCTCGAGGCCGTGCCTTGCACCCATCCAGCGTCTGCACACCTGAGCACGGGCTTGGGGACACGATCAAGCCTGGGCTTCTCGCTTTGCCTACTGGCTTCAGCAAGCGCTGAGAAGACTTGGCACGGAAAGGGAACGTCTTGAAGCTCTAAACCCCCGAGCCGTCTGAAGCCACCTATAGGGCCCGTAAGCACAACCCAAAGTCACCAACCCAAACCCATCAAATCTCGAAACCGCGCCTAAACGCGACAGTCCCATGTGATATATCTGCGCCTTGATGTGGCATGAAGTATGCTGGCGAATCGTCCTCGGCATTTGCACCTGTGACGGTGTCACAGTTGGCCCATATGTCTAGCAAATCCGGGGTTGACGCTCGGGTTGGGAAGTTGGGTCGAAACTTCCAACCATCAAGCCCTCTCGGTACGTCCGCAATGCTCACCTTGGATGTCAAATCTCTAAATCCTACACCCGTTCAGCCTCGGCAGGCTCGGCCCATGCCGCCATCGGCAGCAACGAAGTGCGACGGCCCGTAACCTGAGCGCAAAATCACGGCTTGAAATCTGAACGGGTGATGCTGTGCTTCCGGGTACAATATGGTGGAGCGGGCACGTGATATGAGGTCGGGAAGATTCCGAGACCACACCGAGCGCCTACCCGAATAGTCAAGGCCAGCAAAGACACTCCAGCAAGAGTAGTCCTCCAGCTCGATGCTGGCCTGGATACCCTCCGGCCTGGGTGCTTCGCACAGGAACCGGGGTCTCAAGAAAAATCAAACAACAAATGTCTTCAATACCGCAATTCATATCACAGCGCCGAACAAGCGATGGCAATCGTCATGACAGCTGTATTCATGCCGATACTGATATTGGTGCTGCTACTGATGAATGCTAATGATAATGATCATGTCAAGTACAATGGCTACACTGATAAACTGCCATTGATATACTATTGATACTGGGCTAAACCATGTGATGACTGCGAACATCCATGCTAAGTCCAAACTAGTACGACCAACGTAGGAGCAGCAGCTAGCACAACTTGGCCGTAGGTAATTAGCAGCTAGAATGGTGAACTAATGCTCATTCAAAGCGTGCGCTTAAGCACGACTACGCTTCGTTGAACCCTCGAAACCCCCTCCAAATCGACCAACCCCACCACTCTGCGAGTTGAAACAGGGAACCGCGTCCAAACCTCGCACCGGCCGAGGCTGTACTCCACACCTGGGCTCGGCTGAATGTGACCGACACGATGTGAGAAAATGCGAGCAAAATCTGGGCCGGCAGCCCCGGCAAGTGGCATTCTGAGCACAGGCGCTCTTGCAGTCCTCCACAATGAAAGGATCGGTTCGCGGGTGCTGCATCTGAAATGCAAGGTCCAGTGGCTTCTTGGTAACTGCCGTGCCCCACGTGCGGATGTGGAAGCAATTGAAAGTACGGCCCCCGAAAAGGCCCCGGAGATGTCCTCCAGAGTTGTGATTCCATGAATAACCTGTCGGGAGCCGGGAGTCGCATCTGCATGTTACGGGGTGGGGGGGGGGGGGGGGGCAATCCGTCGGGTTTGGCTGCGATGCTAGATCTTCATCAGAGCTCATACAACACTCCGCCGATTCATGCGCTGGTCCACGATGAATCAGCCCGTAGAAGGCCCAAATGATCCCAAAAGCCGACTCTCACTCTCGCGCAAAGCACAAACAAAACACACTTGCATCGTCACTCAGGCGAGGTGCCGTATAGTGCTGCGCAGCGTTGTCGCCAGGAGAAGCACCGCGGCAGGCTCGAGCGAATCCCCCATCCACAGGAAACCTGCAGGCTGAACTTGGAAAAGCATCCACAAAGTTCGATGGCCTTTGGGGTTAGTAGAACGCGGAATTCACCACTGTCGAACTTTCAGTGCGGCTCTGTCGTGACCATCCTCTGGGAGCTTTAGGTCCACCCTCCGACCACGAGCTCCAGATTTGGGGATCAGGCAATTCTCGAAAAGGCTCAAGGGCCACGGAGCAGATCCTAGACAAGAAGACTGCCCGGCGCGAGGACTCGCAGAATCCGCCTGAAACCATTGCCTCGAACTGCCCAGGTTTCCAGCCAAAACCAGACCGCGATTTTAAGAGTATTGGGTGTTGTCCTGTCATATGCCAATTCGGGCACTTCTGGGGAGTTAAGGTGCAGGCATGAAGTACTGGATGTACTGGATCCTCGCTCTCCTGTCGAGCCACCAATCATAGTCGGTGGCAACGGTCAGTAGCACATGTTGTCGTGCTGGGACCTCCCGCTTTGCGAGTCGAAACCCCTTCCCCAGACCGATGACCTGACCAAAACATGCCTCCTTACAGTTTACAGGCAGTGCAATGCACACTTCTTGAGAAGCTGTCGGTCCAGAGCCTAGCTTGTTCGGCACCCTAGGCCTGACAGTCTACAATCTACTGGGTCAATTTATCTGACTTTTGTACTCCCAAACAACTCCAAACCTCAAAGCTGGACAGCCTCTGTTTGCCCAGTAAGCTTTGGTTCTTCCCGGACTCGGCCAGAGCTGCACAAGCCGACTCTCACAGCCGAAACCCAAAACTAGCGAATTCCGCAGAATATCCAGAGTGTGCTGGTGCCCTTTTGATGGCTTAGCATCTTGCAGTTTCGGTCGGTACGGACCCTTCCCTGCCTTCTGGAGCAAGCCCAGTCCGCCCATGCAGGTTCCATTCGAGCAGGGGGCTGCTGCAGCAGTGGGCGCAAGGGCGATGAGCCAAACCTGAGCTTGGCGACATCGAAGGTTGAAGCCTTTGCAGATTCATTGAGCTTCTACGACCTCGGCCACGCTAAGAAGGTCAACACTTGCACATCTGTAGAAGGATGTCGTGACATAAGCTATCCCAGTTACTGTTGGATCTGCACACTTCATGGGTCTACTCGCGGTAGAAGGAGTGGAGGCCAATGCAAGATCACAAAAGGGATGTTCTAAAGTCTAACGCACAGCCGGGAGGCCAAGTGATGCGCGGCAGAAACCATCGGGACACCAGGTCAGGTGAGAATCCGAGGGTTGGAATTTTCTGAGCTGAACGTGTTGCGGCCTCCACGGCGAGCGCTGAAAGCCTTGGCCTCTATCCGTTGAGCTCGGATCGGGAGTCCAAGACCCTCTGCCCCGAAGCCCTGAACCCGAGCATGTCCTCGTAAGAATAATGCTGATAGTGCTGGCGGTGATGACTCTGACCGTGATGGCCAGAGTCATGGAGATGATGGTGCTGATGATGGTGTGGCTGAGATAGGTTTCAGGTTTTGGGTTTCATGATGCTGATTACGACGATCATGATGACGACGACGACAAGGAGGAACATGATCATGCTGCTCATCATCATCATCATCATCATGGCGGTGGTGGTGTGGCCATATATACTGATGCTACTACCGATTCTGTTGCTTGAGTTATGAAGATGACCACGTCACGACCACCACCGCCGCCAACCCGACCAGGAGAACGACCACAGGAACGACCTCCGCCCTACGACTGTGATAATGATCATGACAGCAGCATCCGCTCAGGCTTGTTGCTCCGCGCGGTTGTGTGCATGCATTGAACAGTCTGAAGAGATCCCTCCAGAAACGATTCCACGCTTAGTGTCCGAAGATCGCTGCCACAACAAGCAGCAGCAACATCAAAAGCTCTTGGCGGGTCAGCGAAAGCAGCCGGAGCTCTCGTCTACCACTTGAGCGAGAACCTTCAGCGTTGAAGCTCAAAGCTCTGATGCCTTCGCCAGGGACATGTCCTGCTCGATCTTCGAGCGCAAGTCCCCCAGAGTCGCCTGTCGCTGGCGAAGCAATGGCGAGGGGGCCTGAATTCTTTGGGGATCTCGCGATAAATCGCTAACAGCGAATACTCCGTCTGCCACGTCCACCCTCCGCTTGACAAAGCACCCAACTCGCTGCATCCCGTACCCCTAGCATTGCGGAACGAAAACGCCCGTTAGATCGCAATACCAGTCAAGATTGAATGATGAAGGTCTACACCTCAAATAAACAAAGATTTCGGCTGCACAAGGAGCATCTGCATTGTCGAACTCCAGGTCTGTGGTCTCCTGTCGTCAGGAGATTTCGTTAGCTGTGGGTAGGTTCTCAGGTTCGGTGCCTTCGGGCCTTGATTTGGGAGTTTCCTTGAAGGCGGCGACTCTTTGGGCCTTTCACTCACTCGGTTCGGTCACATCACCGACGCCCACCCCAATTTCAAAACTCTCGTCCGCAACAGAGGATTCCACACTGCCGGGCTTCGGGACAAACGAGTTACTGCATGGCCTCAAGACCATGTTGAAATCTTGAGGAACTTTGGTCACAAACAATGGTGTCGCTTGTACCGATGAGGACCCAGGATTCAGGGCGGTTCAAGTCGCGCCTTTCCAAGCTTCACAGAGACGCGCAGGGCTGCCATGAGCAACGAGAAGGTGTGACGCTGGTAAGCAGCATATGGCAGTGTGTAAATGCACTGGCCTTGTTAGGTCAGCAATGGCATGCGATGAAACCCAAGTCACCGAGCACCCAAAACGTCCGAAACCATGGACCTCTCTCTACGATGGTACAGCTGAAACCAGCAATAGATCCTGGTTCACGATCCTGCCACGAACATTTCAACTGGGATCTGAGCTGTAGCTGCGGCTTGTGGCAAGGACGGTCCGACAATCGCAGGCGCAGCAAACCAAACCAACCCCACCCTAAGCCCCACAAGGACTTTGGGGAAAAGCTCTGTGGGCTGGGATGCGGGAGTTTCCACTGTCAAAACATCGGTCTCGGACCCGGTGCCCAAGGACACCCTGCGTCACTTGGAGCAGAAAACAAGTGCACAGGTCCGGTCCACAAATCAAAGTCGAGCTGCTTGGCGCTCGAGGATCTAGCTTAAACGATGGCCTCTTTTGAACCCTTGGCCGCTGCTGGGAAAATCAGTGAAGTCACTCAAGACTTCGTGGTCTCCTCGTCTGGGGAAGTGTTCTGCAGGAGGGTGTTTCCATGTGCTGCTTCTGCTGACCATTTTCAATCTGCTCGTAAACCCTCATGGCAACCCCCAAAGTGCAAGCGGCTCGTCTCACAGGAGCTGCGACCAGAGAGATTGAAAGCGTCAAGAACCCAAAGTCTAGGTTCCTTGATGATCACCCGGTAGAATCTTAGTTGGTTTTTTTTTTTTTTTTACTGACGGCACATCGTTCCGAGACTACTCGAAGCTCCCAGAACAGAACACGATGCGTGCGTGTTCTTCAAGCCTTTTCAAAAAGTCTGAGCATTAATGATTAAACTAACTTTCCTACACCTGTCACCTTTCGGCGACAAATGGGACAAATCAAATCTCTCGATGGGTACCTGGCAGCTTCGGATTTCCTGAATGCATCAGAGCTTGGGGCTAAACCACACTCCAAAAGCCCAGAAAAGTGAAATCCCGAGTCCAGTCCTCCCAAGCGGGACAGGGATGAACGTTTGTCCTCAACCCTTCAGCCCAAACTCAGCCCTGTTCCAGCCCCAACCCCAACGACCCAGCCGGCAAGACGAATCCGCACCGACCCAACCTTGGTTGTGCTTGCAGAGCTGTGTTGCAAAGAGTACCTGATGTTATGGCACCTGCACTTTACAGATGGCGTAGGCAGATGTCTCGTGCACTGACTCTCCATTTAAGCTGTCAGGCTACTGGGTCTTGATGCTTAGGCTGAAAAAGAGGGTATGACGCAGGCTGATTGCAGGTGCAGGCTTTCTGTAGGGCAGTTTTGCATCCGGTGCACAACATGTGCTCCCTCTGAATCCAAGAAGCTTCGATAGCAGCTCTTGTGCAAAGTGTGCCGGCATGGAAGCAGGCAAATGCTCGCCTGCACTCAGCGCTGCTGCATTGAGCTCTAGATTGCGCATCATGCAGCCTTGTGACGACGGTGAGCAGAGACCGGGGCAAACCTTACATGACTGCCCTGACCCTCCGGATTGTTCCGAAGTAGATTCTTGAGGCTTCGTCCTGCAAGTGGCAAGAAGGGCGTGAGGCCAGCCTCATCTACGGCACCGAAGCAAATGCAGCAGGGTTCGCCCTCGCCATAGGCAGCCTCGACCGGCACCATCCTGCGCAATCCCAGGTTAAAACACTTCAGGACGAACGAGAGTACAGGACAGTCCCAGCTGCACTTGAAAGGAGACGCGTGATGCCCTGTGACCAGATTCAGATGTGATCGACCGTGGCCGAGATGTGCGCAGGAGGGTTCAGGACGACAAGCCCTGATGATTTGAAATGCGTGTTGGATGCAACATGATCCCACGAGAAGGAGAGCTGCATGCGCCTGACCCCCGAGTCAAGGCTGAAGCGCACACATTTCGTGGCGCGGCGGCAACTTGACGGCTCCTTCGGCCCACGCTGCTGAGCCGCCAAAGCCTCCTCCGGCGTCTGAGGCATCGCGTCAGGCTCGCCATGCCAAGGGCTAGGCCCAAAAGGATGGGCTGAGCCTCGCGGTGGGGTTCGGACTTCGCTGCTCTGTAGACGTTTGGGGGTTTTGGGGGTTTGAGGGAGTTTTTACGCTTGTTAGGGAGTTCAGTGTTCTCGGGGCATTTAGTCAAGTCTTTCAGATCTCAGGGGTTTTGGATTGTTCGGGTTTGGGGTCGTCGTAACGGCCCTACGTTTGATTTGCGAGTTAAGGACTTCAAGGTTCTTCGTGATTTGTGCCGTCTGGGGAGTTTGGGGTGGAAGCCGGAAGGTTAGTGGCAGCAAGACCCCCCAAAATAGTACCCGTACAGCCCCACACACCCCCACCCCTGAAATGCGATAGCAGAAAGACCCTGAGGCATTTGAGGCCTCCAAAGCAACTGAGGAGTGGACCGCCGTGTACATGATGGTCGTCGGCAGGAGCAACAACGGCCACCTTGCCAATGCAAACGGGGACACAGACCGCCGTGCGCGAAGAGTTTTCTGGCAGCATGTATGAAGTGATTAAGTCCAGGTGCACAGTTGAGTGCCCCCTAAGCGCCGCGCGGCAGCAACAGCCACCCGAAGAAGAACAACGCAACCATCCCTGGCAAACCACCTGCATTTGTAGCACATGACACAGGCAGTCAAGCTGACCTCAAAACTTCTGATCTTCCACGACTAATTACCAAGCCTCCCTCCAAGCTGTTTGGAGAGACCTCACTTTGCCAGAACAAGCATTTTCACAATCGCAGCAGCCATCCTGAGGTGCGAGCAGGGCAGGAGAGGTGAAGAGCCCGCAATAAGGTCCCGCCAACGTCGGGAAGATCTTCACGGACCGGCACCCATGCAAATCTGCAATCCTGCGGAGCTGAAAGCCAGTTCAAGGCCAACAGGGGCTTTATTCTTGAAGTCGATGCAATCATGCTCTGCCGGCTCGCTCCTTCACGATGGTGCTCTTTGGAAGCACGAGTTCAGTCTCGATGGCCTTGCCAGATGCAGCTGTCCGTGCAAGTAGGACAGTAGGACAGGAAATGCTCAGCCACAGACTTGCACATTTCGGCCGTGGTAGCTGAAGGACCGGTTATTCCTCACCTGAGCGGACAGTAAAACGGTGCACAGCAGATAATGCCGTAGCTTGTAATCACGCTAAACTGTTGTGAACGTTGCCACCTCCAGGTGCAAGCACTCCACTCGAGTGTCGTTGAGACCTGGCCACATCGGTTTGGCAAGTGTTGATCATAAATTTCCGAGCGTTTCGACCAGTACGACCACTCCAGTTGACATGAAGAGATTCCGCGAAGCCACCTCCACTGCTCATCGGCTTCTCGCACTGAGTGGCTTTGATGACGAAATCCTCTGTGTTGTTCCACCACAAAGCCACCTGATCGCTGCAGAACCATACGCCTTAAACTCGCTACACTAAGAATATCAGTTCGTGATTGGTAGACACCCATCTGTCTGTCTGTCTGTCAGCCTTGACTGCGATTCGCCCCCGGTCCTTTAAAGGTTTCAGCATCTAGGTGCGGATGTATATAGTTCAAACCGCGGGATTCAACAGAGGAAGCATTGGCCTAGCATACAGCTGCACCACGAAATCACTTGAAGCACTGATACATTGCGGTAAAGAAGGCAACATAATGAACCTTTGTTTCGGCCCCCTTCGGCAGCTCTCCAAGCCAGATCCCCGCTGACCTCCGGGGACAGGGGCACCAGAAGCCGGAGGACTTGCCAAGGGCGGTTTTCCTGCAGATCGCGTTCTCAAGAAACTTGCTTGGAATCGGGCGCTGCCTAGGGTCTCCGGGAGTGGACGAAGTCAATCTCACTTCAATGGGTTTGCGGCTCGCGAGAGCTGCCAAACCCTGACTGCACTGCAACCATCACATCCCCACCGATACCAAAAGCCTGGAAGCAAGCCGGCGGCTCTGGCCTCCTGCAGCTCCACGATGTGAAAAGGTTCGGACAACGCCTTGCAATTTCGGGATCGGCGACATTTCTGTGCTTTGTGACTCAATGTGTGTCTTCATGTTTTCTCCGGAGCGTGCGTAACGAGGGCAAGGGATTTGGGATCTGTACATTACATGTGTCATGTCTGTCTGTGTGTGTGTGTGTGCAGGTACGCCTGCATGCATGCCTGCCTACTGCTTGCCTGCCTGCGTGCGAGCGTGCGAGCTTTTTCTTCGCGCGAGCCTGCGAGAGTACGTGCGTGCGAGCGAGCGAGCGAGCGTGCCTGAATGGATGGTGGATGGATGGCTGGCTGGCTGGCTGGGTGCGTGGTTGGGTGCGTGGTTTGGTGGATGGATGGATGGATGGATGGATGGGCTGCATGGATGGATGGGCGTATGCATGTATGCAAAATACACTAATGCATTACGATGTGTGGTGAAGCCTGTAATGTGTGTATAAGGCAGTGCATTCATGCGTGCATGCACGCACATATGCATGCAGGTATGTATCTATGCATGTATCTTTTATATGTATGTATACATCTAGCCATGTGCAGCTGTACACCTGTACGCACACATGCAAGCATGCTTTCATGTATGTATGTATGCATGCGTGCATGCAAGTATGTTGGGCATGTTACACATGTTACGCAAGCAGTGTATATTCCATGTAAGTGATGTAATGCATGTACGGTGAGGTATGCAGTGTGTGTCATATATGTAATGCACCTAAGACATGCAATGTGAGCAAAGACGCGTGTATGCAAGTATGTATGTATGCATGCATGTCTGCGTATGTCACGTATGTAAATATGTCAGGTATGCATTGTATGTAACGCATGTCATGCAAAAGTATGAAATGCATGTAATGCATTCAATGTAATGTATGTACGGTATGTGATGCATGCGGTGCATGTAGTGCAGTGTAATGAAGTTGAAAGCAAAGTAATGCAACACATGTATGTACGTACGTACGTATCTATGTGTTTGTATGTGTGCAGATAGGTAGGTACGTACGTACATACGTACGCATACAATGTATGCATGTAACGTAATGTAATGCAATGCAACGCATGTAACACAGTACAAATCAGTGCGATGCAGCGTCATGCAGTGTAATGCAGTATAATGTAACTGAATGTAAAGCAATACAGTGTAGTGCAGTTCAATACAATGTCATGCAATCCGATATACTCTTTTCCATTGTAATGCACTGAAATGCATTGCAATGCAATCTAATGCAATGAAATGCAATGTAATGCAATGTAATGCAATGTAATACAATGTAATGCAATGTAATACAATGTAATGCAATGACATGAACTGTAAAGCAATGTAAAGCAATATGACGCGATGTATTGAAATGCAATGTTATGCTCTGTTCCGATCTGTTCTGTTTCCTGATATTCCCTGTTCTGTTCCGTTCCGTTCTGTTCTGTACGTGCGTATGAGTACAGGCTATGTGTATGTATGCATGCTTGCATGCAAGCAGGATGGATGGATGGATGGCTGGCTGGGTGCGTGGTTGGGTGGGTGGATGGATGCATATTCGTGCATGTGCCTGTTGTCGCGCAAGTGTGTATGCATTGATCCAGTAATATCAATACCTGTCGTCATAGGACGACATGTATGCCATAGTCTTTTCATGGTACTCGACCTTCCGCTTCGCACCGAATTAAAGTACTCTTGTTTTTCTTGCTTATGTTCTCTCTGTATCGTCAATTCTCTCTCTTGCTCTATCTCTATCGCTCTCCAGCAAAGCCCTCGACTGCTGCCTCAGCTGTCCGGCGGCCCTTGTCCGGCCTGCAATTTGCTGATCAAGCAAACAAACGGACTGACAGCTCCTAAACCATGAGTTCGGTACGTGGCAAAACGTCAACCATGGGTTTTCTTCAAGGGCAAGCCTGTCCAGCCGCTCTGGCGGTCTCTGTCCGTCATCTCCTACATCGGCATCTTTCTCCAAAATGTGGTAGTGTCAGCAAGCCTCAACTGAGCACGGCACCCGGTCGCAGAATGAAGCTCGAATTTGTTTCGATTCCCTGCACCGTGCAATTCACCGAAAATGACAGCGGGCACTGACAGCTGACAGCAACAAGCGGCCTTCCTTAATCCCAACAGTTCCGACACCCGGTAATATTTGTCATTCCCTCGAAAGACCCATCTCTTTATGGTCTTCAACACCAAGTAAGTCACAAAAAGAAGACCACTTCACATCTACGTCATATTAGGTGGGGTCTTCTCGAAAAAACGAAGGGATAGAAAGCAGTAGCAGCAGCATAGTATAGTAAAGTATAGTATGGTTTAGTATAGTATAGTATAGTATAGTATAGTATAGTAGTAGTCAGGGAGGTTTTATCGATATCGAAACAATATCGGTATTGAACCGCAAGATAACTCTAAACCAAAGTATCGACATCGCACCGGGCCGAAAAGCGTTAGTATCGCTCAAACCCACCAGTCATCCACCCCCTCGAGCCCTCCAGCACTCCCGCCCTCCGCCCTCCTGCTACTACTAGTAGCCGTAGCAGTAGCAGTAGCAGTAGCAGTAGCAGTAGCAGTAGCAGTAGCAGTAGCAGTAGCAGTAGCAGTAGCAGTAGCAGTAGCAGTAGCAGTAGCAGTAGCAGTAGCAGTAGCAGTAGCAGTAGCAGTAGCAGTAGCATTAGCAGTAGCAGTAGCAGTAGCAGTAGCAGTAGCAGTAGCAGTAGCAGTAGCAGTAGCAGTAGCAGTAGCAGTAGCAGTAGCAGTAGCAGTAGCAGTAGCAGTAGCAGTTGCAGTTGCAGTTGCAGTTGCAGTTGCAGTTGCAGTTGCAGTTGCAGTTGCAGTTGCAGTTTCAGTTGCAGCAGCAGCAGCAGCAGGAGCAGTAGCAGTAGCAGTAGCAGTAGCAGTAGCAGTAGCAGTAGCAGTAGCAGTAGCAGTAGCAGTAGCAGTAGCAGTAGCAGTAGCAGTAGCAGTAGCAGTAGCAGTAGCAGTAGCAGTAGCAGCAAGTAGTAGTTGCAGTAGCAGTAGCAGCAGTAGTAGCAATAGCAGTAAGTAGTAGTTGCAGTAGTAGTACTAGCAGTAGTAGTGGTAGTAGTGGTAGTAGTGGTAGTAGTGGTAGTAGTGGTAGTAGTGGTAGTAGTGGTAGTAGTGGTAGTAGTGGTAGTAGTAGTAGCAGCAGTAGTAATGATAATCATGCTAGTGCTAACACTATATCGTAGTTGTGGTCGTCATCATAGCAATGGGTGGGCCATGGGTTTACCTGGCCGATGCCGTAAATGCTGCAGATCTCATTTGATCTCGTTTTTGATCTCGCTTCAATCCGAATTTATCACACTCAAAAGGGCCGTGACTCTTCATCGTGCCCTCGACAAGAATTGCCTATGACTAACTACAAGCACTCCCTCCCAAAGAAGCGTCTATGACAGAACAAGTGAGTACAAACATTCCGTCGGAAAGATATGTTTCTGACAGAACACCTGACCGAAGCAACTCCAAACATCTATGGCAAACACACAACCGTACTAGCCGCAGATAGGACTGCATCATGCCATAAAAGCGCTTGGCTTCGTTTGAACCGGTGCCCCAAATCTTTCCCCAGGCACTAGTAGAGTGAGCTCCGACAAACAAATTGCTGCAAAAGGTGATCTCGTTTCAGACAACTGTAATAGTATAACACAAATCAAAGCCGTTGCTCATATATGGCTTCCGGCAAAGATGGTCAACAAACGTGAAGGGGCACGGTTCGACAAGCAGAAGTACGGATGCTTCTGACTTGAGTCTTGTTCACTTCTGTTTTACTGTGTTCCAGACAACACCCAGGCGGTGCAAAACGTGACCTCACTACCGGCGCTGCCCGATGCTGCCTTAGGTCGGACACAGATGCGGAACCGAGTCACAAGATGGGCTTGGCTGAGAAGCCAGCGAGAAGCCGCAGGCGCTGGAAAAGCAAGGCGGCCTGGAAATCCACAGGTCTGTTCTCGATGTTTTTGGGTCTATTGCGACAGCCATTCTAAGTGCAAAGCAGCTAGTGCCAGGAAAATGCCCTTGAAGACAGCTTGTCTTCTAAGCTCGTGAGCAGGGCGCTGCCGCTGCATGGGCAACCTCGGTGTCATGCTTGCCGCTGGTGCTGATCTACACTTGCAATGCCTTGCAATGTGCATAGCTGAACACTGGCTCGAGGTCGCCACAAAACAACACCCTCAAACCTGGCGCACGTGCTGTCTGCCGGCAACTTGGAAGGAGAGTCTGCGGAAACAAGAACACCTCCCATCCATCGTCGGCAAGACGTTCTCGCCATGCGAGCATTCGACAAGACAAAGCCGTGTAAACCCTTTTGGGTTGTTTACCTGCTCAAGGGTTGAAAAGTTGCTGCCATGTCTATGCATCAAGCTTAATGATGCACGCGTGCTTGGGCATAGACCCATGGTTGAGGTTGGCAGTGAGGGCATGATTTCCGTGGCCAAGGCTGGATGCAGGGGGTGCTTGCTTGTGTTGGAGTCAGTGGAGTCGCAGCTGCCATGACTACATTAATGCATGGTGTCGGCATCTATCTGGGCCAAGCTTCAAATCATCACTGAACGGTCTGCAGCTATGTTGTCTGATGATGTATGCCAAGCTGCGACCTACCTGAATGCGTTTTTGAAATCTTGGGATTCAAGCCGACGTGTGGAATGCCCTCGCTATATCGTTTGCCGGCGATATAGGTTCAGGATGAGGCGGCGGAGTCCGCCGAAGGCGTGATACTTCAATCCTGGAAATCTGTGCCGCCTGCAACCTTCGCTGCTACGCAAGAAACTCCTCTTGCAATTTCCATGCTTTTTCGTTCATGTGGGCTGCAAACCATGTTGGCTCGCGGCGACTTTTGTACTGCGTACGGCACCGTACGGCCAGAGTATGCAGTCCATTCCACGAGTACTGAATCATTCCGGGACCACCTTGACATGAGTGCACTTCTGAAGGATGAAAGGACGGTGAGACACAAGCCGCGCCAGCCTTCTTGCTTGAAGACTTTACGAGCCGGGTGTACAGTTTCGGGATGCTCTGGATCGAGGATAAGTGGGATCAGTGCTCAGGATACAGGAACTCAATGGGTGTTGAATATTCATCGGCAGACAGCATTCTACCCAGCGGCGCAGGCTTGCTGTATGTACACTGGATGGGAATCAACGAAACGTAGGACAACGAGCTGCTGGCAGTCTAGTACATCCAAAGACCGAGGGTCTTTTTGCTCAGTCAGGCTTGTTCTCCTGCCGATTGGGCAAAACGTTCTGATGCCGCGACGAGGATGAGGATGATGGTGATGATAGTGCTGATGAGGACGAAGAAAACCTTCACAATGGTGACAAGTATGCTGACAACAGCGATGAGGATGAGGACTGTGAAGATGGTAGAAATTGAAATTCGGTGCCAGGGTGCCGAAACTCTAAAATGCCATGAAAGCGCAAACTCTAAGACTAAGACCTCCGCCTTGCAATGAAGGAAGTTGTAACGGAAATAGCGAACAAACGGCCACGCAGTGGGAAGACGGCAGGGCGCGACCACCACTGCTAACGGCGAGCACAAAAGAGGTTCAACATAAACACAACTGTGTCTTTGGAAAGCAAACAAGGCCAAGATGCCAAACGCGACTTAAAACAGCGCACAACACTCTCCCCTTCTTCTTGCGCGAGACGCGAGGGCCTGTGGAACCCTAAACCCTCAAGCTCGGCTCGCCGCTATAGGGGACCCAACAGGATCGCTACAATTTCTGCCTCCTTGGAGCCAGCGGAACCAGCGGCCGGACTCTCGGCCCTGGAAGAATTTCCCAGGGCTCGAAATTCGCGAAACATGGATGCGGCGCACCGGTATGGACCAGGCCCAGGCATCACCACGTACAGCATCACTGCAGCGGTACAAGTTTGGGATCCCAACCCGGAGCCATCCATGCATCAATTTCTTTTAAGAAGCAGTACGGTTCAGGAGTTTACGGACGTGCGGGAGACCTGCATCGAAAACCTGAATCTGAGGGAAGAGCGAGTGGTCCTCCAGTCCCGCAGCAGTCTCGTCACCTCCGCAAAGGAGTCCAAAACCCAAGAAGTCCTGAAACTGCTCGTGTAGACTTCCTGCAGAATCGGATTGCCGACCAACACCGTCTTTCGGGTCTGTCGGGCTGGGTGAGTAAACTCTGAAGGACGCAAACAGTGAATACACAAGCCCCCAAAGCCCTTAGCCCCCTAACGCCCGGAATCACAAACCTCAAGCCTCTCAACCACAAAACCCTCTCACGAGTCCGTCTTTGCCCAGCCAGGAGGCGCCTCCGTCCTGGCTTCCCTTGCTGCTCGCCTCGCTGGCGTCACTTGCCTCCTGCACCGATTCTCGTGCATTTAGAATTTCTTCGAGTGCTGGCTTTCAACATGGGCCGAACAACAGTACCATTGCTTCTTGACTGGTGTAATTAAGAGTTGATTATGCTGGTCATCACTGTCGTTCACATCATGAATGTGTTTTCGTCCCATGACGTTGAAGTGTTGTACTGTCCTTGCCGCAACTGGTGCTGACCCGCTGAGCGCTTCTTGTAATTTGTGCGAATAATCACATACTCGGGTTCTTACCTGTTTGCAGGAAACAGGCATGTTGCTGTGCGTATCGTGCATGCTGCCGTTGAAAAATTCTAAATATAGCCAAGTCGAGAACGAGAAACCCACCAGTGAAAACTGCCACAACAACACTAACAACGATGCAGAAGACCGGATTAGGACGGCGAGAGGATGGCGGCGGCGAGGAGGATGAGGATCAGGATGTTGGCTATGACTATGACGATGGTGGTGGCGATGGCGGAGACGGTGATCATGGTGATGGTGTTGATGATGGCGCTGGTGATGATGATGATGATGATGGCGATGGCGACAGCGATAGCAGTGATGATGCTGATGATGATGGCCATCATCATGCTGGTGTCGTGTTCGAAAGTTTCTCGTGGAATCGTCCACTTATCTCAGAAGGCCAAAGATTGCCATCGGTTTTATCACCGCGGGGCTTAATTGATCTTGATCGTGCCATGTCTTCAGTTGGGATTATGGGTCTGTGCTGATACATGGCTATATCTACTGTCCCGATGAGGCGTGTCACAACTTTTAGCAGGCATGATCCTTTTTTTTCTTTTGAGCATGCTGGGTGCATTAATGGCTGTTCGTTGTAGTATCCCGCTGGTACTTCTGGCTTCCCATTCGATCCGGTTTGCTATTGTCTCTGGTTCTGTGTTGCCCTGTATTACGTCATACCAGCTGTTGCAATATGTTCCTCTCTGTTTTTGTGACAGGTCGCGTTATGCTATGTATCTCTTGTTGCCGCTTTTCCAGTGCACAGACCATGCCGAGTCAAGTGATAACATCGTGCTACAACTACTCGGGTTAAAGCGTCTTTCATGGGCTATCCTGCTGAGCTTTCAGTACTGATAACCTGATTATATAGTAGGTAAGAGCAAGAAAAGCCCCTTCCTGAACCGATGACATTCACGCCGGAGCCCTTTAGCAAACAACTGGCAGATAAGCGAGTAAGGTCTCGATGTCACAGTATCTATGGCATCAGTTTAACCCCCTCTCCTCGTCGCCTTCGGCCGAATCCGCCTCCACGTGCTCCTCTTCGGATTCCTAGCGGTCGGGTTCGAGGGCGGCCATCTGCAGGGTCTGGAGCGCTGAGGATTTGTGTTTGGGGTTCCCAGTCTTCCGAATGAAACCGCTCAGAGCTCCTCATCATCCCACATGTGGTCACTCTCCTGAGATGCAGCATCGCCCTCCGCTCCAAAGCTCACTGCCTGAGCGTCAGCGTCAGCCCGTGAAAACTCTTCCTCTCCTGAAGTTCGATTGCTACACGGATGGGTCCTTCTTGAGTACCGTAGTTAGGGCCAGTATCTGTGCCACCATTTGGCCAAATCCCAACTCCTTAAGTTGTCACACATACAGAGAATATCGAAGTCTGAGTCCGTAAACCTATAGTGTGTCCCAAACCCCAGACAAGCAAACATAAAGTTCGCAACGTCTCTGACATGGCCTCGAGCCCAGCTCCCAAACTTTGGACAACACCAAGCCGAGGATCCCGAACACGAAACCTGCATTGCACAACCAACCACGCCGATTCGACCCCCACAATTGAGCTCAGACAAACTGATATTGACTGCTGCTCTTGCAATTATGCTAAACCCAAAAGAAACCATTGGACCAAGACTCCAACACCTTGTAGCAGTTGACGCCAGTTTGACGCACCCCTTGCCATCAAAAGAAACCCCGCACACCCCCAGGCACGAAGTGGTCTTCTCCCAGATACTAGTAGGCCAACTTGAGGTCCCACCTTGCCGGCAGCGGATTCCTCGCTGACAGGTTCTCCGAGGCTTGGCTCGTCGGTCTTGTGTTGCTTCATTGAAGGCTTCTGAAAGAATTTGCTTGGAAGTTCGGTGCAGGGTGCGAGGTCATTCACGTGTTGGGGTTTTGGGGTGCATGAGGCTTCGAAGTTAACCCAGTTGCATGCAGAAGCTTCACCAGGCAGTGTGTCCGGTAGAAGCACCATTCACGACCTGTGCAAAACCGTGAACCCTTACCACAAATCCGAAGTTGGATCTCCCCAAATCACGAACTCTCAAGCTAGGAGGGCTGAGCACATGAGTACTTCGGCCGTCCTGCGCTTCGAGCATAGCATCTTCGGCCTGGATAAGTCACGAAAGCACACGGAAAGGACTCCTCAGACAGGGGTAGAGTTGTTGTACGTGTTGCGGTTCATAGCAAGAACCCCATGCGAGATCTTGACTTACATCCTCTTCTCGGGGGAGATTGGGACATTCTTTGTGCCACGTGCTGCATCGGGAAGGTCGTAGACTAAACCGCTGGCCAGTCAGGCCAGCCCCACATCACAGACAAACTACGAGTATCCTACAACAAGGGTCAGGAAAATGATCGGAAGTCCAGGGACTTCTGCGAAGTAGGATTCCGGGGTGCTTTGGTGTCTCATACGTCACCTTTGTGGCGACCTTTAACTCCAGGGAGGAGAATGAGCTGCACCTCCCTGGAGTTAAAGGTCTCCACTCCTCGACTCACTAGCCTGCACCCCAAACTCTAAAGCCTGCATCCGAGTCACGTCATGTGAACCGAAGGCATCGGCCTCACAGAGATCCAGAGACTCTCGGACTCTCGGACTCGGAGTGTTTCGAGGTGGGATCTGAGAAGGTCGCTTTACCGTTTAGCGGGATTTCAGCTTTGGAGGTCAAAGCAGCTGGCATGCCAAATCCTTGGTGCAACGTTGTCTGTCTTCGAATTTCCCAGCTGAGTTGAAAACATGACGACGTCACTTGCTCCTCGGAAGCCCAAGAACGAGGAGGTGGACAAGCCGTCCCCCACGTTCTCCCTGCCACCGGCAAACCATAAACCCAAAGCAACAAAGGCAAAACCTACGGCGGAGAGCAAAAGGCTCGGGGCCGCGCCGTTCGCACCTTCTCAGTCTTCAGCATGTTGTAGAATCTCGGTTGGGTGACTGCAGAGTGCGTCGGAGCATCGTTGAGCCCGAGTGGCTTGGAGGCCTGGGGCCTTGGTGAGGAAGCTCCAAGTTGGGGGATTTCTGTAGGGTGGGCTCAGACGCTGCAACGCGGGGCTCCGACTCGCCGTAGTCCATCACACCTGGGGGGCGGCTTCGGAGCGTGGCGTTCCGATTGGGCGTTGGCAGGCTTGAAGCTAGCCTTAGACCTTCAGATGTTCGAGGGGGTTTGGATGGATTTAGGGTCCAAGGTGGCCTGCGGGTCAGGTGCTCTGCGACTAGAGATTGATTTATGATCAGCATGAATTTGATTTGCAATCCGGGCATAAAGCACTTTCAGGATGTCGGTGTCACCAAAAACCGAAAACTACCCTCCTAGGCCCAGAATCAAGACCATGAACATCCATGAAACACTGAACTCTAAAGCTTCTGTGCCTATGTGATGGCTTTTTTCACAGGGGATTCGACTGCTGCTCTTAACACCCATCGCATGAAGTTGAAACTCTGAACCCGCAACAGTCTTGCTTCGGCGGCTGAAATGCTTGAGAAATGACTCTGCTGCATTCGCTAGATTGGATAGCGTTCTCTGACTGCGTTTCACTAGCCTCTTGGTGCACGGTGCGCTGTTGCTCAGAAGATTGCACGATGGGGCACTGTTTCGAAAGACTTGCTGGAGGTAGTGGGGCAGCTACAGAAATCCTGAGATATGAGCACGAGCAGATGCTAACACTGCCCGTTTTCTTAATAGGATGTCCTCCCCACTAGCCTCGCCTGGTTCCTGTCCTTCCTGACGTCCCCTCGTCTTCCCAGAAAACATGAGTGTCACGCAGCCGTGTGAACAGCTCTTAAAGTGCTGCAAAAGATCGCTATTGCTCCTTCCACAAGTTCTCATAAAGGCTTCTGCATTTGCACTGTGCAGCGTACAAGAAGAACATGCTGAAAAGTTCAAAGTGTGTTGCACAGGCTGTTTCACAGGACCGAAGTGGTTCGTGGCAGGTGAGGGTTTGCGGGGTGCTGTTGATTCTCTGAGAGAGCGTAAGTTTACCTGCAATTTGGCAGGGGGATTTTGGGAAGCTCGCGTGGCTTGTGGTGGTGAATTAAGCGCATAAAACTCTCAGAATGCCTTGCAGAAGAAACACCGTTACCCAACCCGAGTCCTCCGCTCCTCACCCCACTCAGAAAGCAGCTCCACATTTCACTTCAGGCGATTCCAGCGCTGCTCGTCCACACCCGTCTTTGCGATCCGGAGCTGCAGGGTGAGGTCCCGGGCCATGTCCAGGTCACCGACCTCCTTCCTTGGGTTAAGGGGATTAGGGTTGAAGAGGAGTGGTTTGGGTTGTGGCCTTTTTGTAGGGCAGGGCTAGGGGCAGCGTTTCTTTGAGCCGTGGTGGGAACATGCAAGTGTTGAAAGCCAGCCCCCTCAAAAGCAGTCAATCTTCGCTTCTCGGATAGCCTTCTCCAGCATCGCCTCCTCCGGCAGCACACCCTGCCTCTCGGCCTCCTGCACCTGCTCGATGTAGGACTCGAGCTGGCAGGACTTAAACACTGCTGGCGATGGCTCGTAGCCAGCGCCTTTCATTTTGAAGAGCAGATCCTTTGCAGCTTCCAGCTGAAAGCCGCCGATGGCGGCGGCAATGGCAGCTTCGTACAGGGCAGGGCTCAAGACGAGGCCGCGGAAGCGAAGCTGCTCGATCACATCAAGAGCCTCCTGAAAGAAGTGCAGACATGCGCTGAACTGGTGCAAGCTGCAGTGGTTCATACGTACTGTGTATCTAGGATGCGGGCCACACAGTTCAGGTTTCAGGGCGCCTCGAACAGCGGTTCATGGAAATGCCTGCAGCGTCACCAAACCTCTTTGCCTTCGGTTCCAGTCCGACGAGGATGAACAGGCACGGCGGTCACGTCTATGGCACAGCGGTTCCTACGTGTCGGTCTCCGCACTTGCGTTGATCAAACTCGCCCATATGCGGTGGTCACCTGCTGATCTTCATCATGCCAGACAGACACACCACAAGCACAAAAAACACACACACTGTCACTCACTCCCTCACTAAGTAGGCTTCGGTGGAAATAGCATATTCGTACTTGGGGCTTGCTTGGCTTATTTTCCAGAGACTGGACTTGCCTCGAGCCACAAGCTAAGGAACCCAAACCAAACACAAAGCAAAAAACAGAATTTCGCGCCGCTCTAACGAAGATTCTTCTCAAAACAAAACCCCGAATGACTGACCTTCAAACATTTGCAAAACATGCAATCGCAACAACGACAACAACATCATCAACAACAACAACAACAACGGCAACAGCAACAGCAAAAGCTACAGCAACGACTACGACAGCAGCAGCAACGTGGACCACGATGACGAGGACGGCGACATGACCACAACAACAATGGCCACCAGCCGCTGAGCATGAAGCAAGACAGCAAAGAGGCGAACCTAGACAACTGCGACGACCGACGAGCCAGGAAAGACATGCAAAGCACAGGACACTCCTGGCACTTCCCACCCGCAGCACAGGCCCTGAGCGCTGCCAGGCCGGCTGCATCCAGCAGGTCCAAAGATCGGCCCTTAGGCGCCAAGGAGCCCTTGACCTCGAAGTTTATAGCTTAGGCTGACGGTTTCGAGGATTTGAGTGTGACGATGTCACAGTTTGGGGCTTAGGGTTGCGCATCTTGGAGAACCTATTGCTCTTTTGTCTGTGCCTCTTTTCTGCCTGCAAGAACCCCACTTATAACGCTTTAATCGGTGGAGGCAATGGTCAAGGCCAAGTGAAATCTCCACGAATACCCACACTTCCGAAACCCCGGGCCTCACCCACTGCATACAGCCTCAGCGTTATTTGAGCAGATGCTTAGGTATTCGACTGGAGTTCGGCATTATCGGGATCTGGGATCTTGCAAAGTGCGGAATCCCACCACCCTGTCTCCGCAGAACCACACGGAAGCTGAAGTTAAAACGCCGACAGCCTGCCCCAACCCGTCGAAACTCATCGTTCCGAAACCCAAACAGCGTCCATAAAGATCAAGCGCCAACCGTATACCCCTGAAGCCCGAGTCTCCCGAAGGTCTTCGAAGATCTCGAGCGCCCGTGCCCACATGGCCTGGGGAATCGAAGGGAGGGAAGGAGGCAGCTGAGGGAATCTTTTGGCTCTAAGGCATGCGTGATTCGATCACAACACCGACCGTCGAGGATGTGACACCTACGCGGCCTTTAACGTCGAAGCACTGGAAACCGCTGATTCAAACCTTCAAGTCCCAAAACCGAAGTAACCTCCAAGCTTGTCAGCCCTCACAGCCACAACCCTCAAGATTGAGCTTTCAAGCACCTCAGCCAGCAATCATGCAGACCACTCTCTGGACTCGAAGCCACTTGCCCGGAAGAGCATTTGCATTCACAACTGTCACCCAAGTACACAATGGGATCAACCGACTGACCGACCAAAGACAGACAGACAGACAGGCAGACACAACGGGACAAACGGCACACTCAGCGCACCAGGAAAGGGCCTTGCATCTCTCAAAATCACCCGCGAGCAAAGGCCTGGTCCACGAAGGCGCTCATCGCAGCGACCTCAGTCTCAGGCGCCGCCTCCACGTGCAGCACCTTCAACTCCTGCTCAGAGTTTATACAATTCCACCGGCCTGCGGCTTATTGCGGCTTGAGGACGTGCGGTCGTGGATGGGCCCAGGAAAGTGTTCTCTGTGATTTGGCGGCTGAGGCTTCACTGGCTTCAAAACTTGTCAAGGGCTTAAGGCTTCAGGGCCGAATTGCTTTATGCCGCTCAACGTCCACATGGTCCTCGTACGTTGCTGTGGCGACCTCGGGCGATTTCGACTCTCGTACGATGCGTTCGTAGATGTCCTGGCGAGCGCTATAACCTGCTTCAGTCATGTGCTTCAGCAGCCGCGCGGATTGCTCACCATCTGGCAAGTAACCCCGGATGCCAGCTTCGTAAAGCATCTTGTACTGGTCTTCGCTCGCCTCCCCATCCCGAGTATTTTTGAGGCCGTCCAAGACATTCTGACAAGCCACTCCACTTGGAGTGAGCTTATTCTTGATGGCCTGCTCCAACACCCGCACTCCCTTCATAGCCTCGTAGCAGCTGGCATGGGCTTCTGCTGCCAAGCTGTGGCATTCTGCATCTGGCTGCGTCCTGTGCCGCGCCGACATCTGGTCGAAGAGCGTGAGCTGCTTCCGTGCGGCGCCGCGGCGCTGGGTGTCACTGTCCTCGGGCTGCTGGAGGCTGGCGTGAGCCCGCATGGCTGCAGCGAAGGCTGCGTACGTCAGGCGGCAGCCTGGCTGGGCCTTCATGTCCTCAAAAGTTTTCAGGACCATTTCGAAGTCCCCCTCCTTCTCATACGCAGTCATCACACCCACGAAGGCTGCCGGTGTAGGTGACAAGTCTTTGCTGAGCATCTCAGCGAACAGGTCAATACTTCGCCTGCCCTCCCCGGTGCTGCAGGCAGCAATGGCGCTGCTGTAAGCAGAAGCACTCCTCAGCGAGATGTCTGATGTCTGATTCAGCATCGGACGCTTGACCAGAAAAAGCACCGGTTGCATGCCCAAGGGTCGGAGTCAGTCCAGCTTGAATCATGCTGTTGATGATGAAAATCGCCCTCTTCCAGAGGCCCCCTGCGGCACAAGCTCTCAGGACAGCGTCGTAAACTTGCCTCAGTCTGCAAAGAATCGGCAAAATGTCAGCCACATTTCCTGAAAATCCAAAAGAAAGGATCCCTTCGTCTCTCAGTTCTGAGTCTGAGCAACTCTCGTAACCTCGCGTCTGAAGCCTGTCCAACCCTTACACCCCACGTAAGCCCTGGGTCCAACGTCCCCAACTCCAGAGAAGCGGGTCGCTCGTCCGCCTGAAAGCCAGCCCGCTTCATGCGCCCATAACTTCGCACCGCCAGCACGGGCTCTGCAGATTCCATGGCCTGCATTCTTGAGGGCATCGAGCAAACATCTGAATGAAGGATTGAAAACTGTGGGTCTTGCGCCTTGGGATCAAAAAACAAACCGACCCTGGGCTTGACTCCCATCGCTTGCACACCGAAGGGCTTGGATGAGGCATGTCCATGTCAACAGATTACCGCGGAGGCCACCGTTGAGCATGTCCTCGTTCCTGAAGATTCGGCTTGGGAGCCCAGGAATTCACGCAAAATAGTCCCGCAGTGAAGACTCGGTCTGCTGCACAACCAAGAGCCAAGTACCAGCCGGGCATCAGGCCCAGAGCCGTCCTCCACTGTTGAGCACCCCGGCAGGCGGTCATGGCCGCACTGTAGCTGGACTCGCTGGGATTCCTCAGCTGCAAGGATTGTGAGGGGCTATGGGAGGTTACGGTTAGTCCGGCTGAGGGCCGAGGTTGTAAAAAAAAATGTTCGTTGCCATCTGCTAATGAATTCCGGCCCTTACATACTGCAGCAGCATCGAAACTTCCGGATCCCCAAAGCCGAAACTACAAAATCATGCAATCCTTGCCTAAAGCCCTCTGATGACATGCGATGCAATCAAAGAAACCCAGAACTGGAGCCCAAGCGGCAACTGCCTCGATGTAAGCTCCTCCAGGACTCCAAGGGCACCCTCCCACTGATTGGCTCTCGCCAGCGCAGTAATGACCTCATTCCGAGAATCACAAGTCTGGAATCTGGAAGATGTTAGCTTGCGGGGGGTTGAGGCCGCAAATACCCACGAGAGCCCCAGGCCCAACTCTTGGCCAGGGGCGGTGTTGTAGGTGATGACGTTGGGCGAATCAGGCCCCCCTTTGGCCCGGTCATCCAGCTGCTTCAGCAGCTGCGTCGTCAGAGCCCAATGCCTCGAACCCGAGAGTCCTCGAGGCAAACTTCTTCCTGCCACCCCAAGTTATTCAAGTTTGTAGCTTCGGGTCGTTCTACAAGTTTAGAGCCTGTGCAATGATCCTGAACCACAAACTGCACGCCCGTCCTTTGATTGCCACGCTGTAGGTCACAACGTTGGGGCCGAGTCGCTGGTCCATGTCGTCGATCATCTTAAACATCAGGTCGAGCTGCCGCCGCCGGCTGAGCACGCCGATGGCGATACTGAAGTCCCGGTGATCAGTGATCATTCCCAATAATTCCTTTGCAACCTGCTGCAGCTCGGAGACCTCATCTCTATGTCTCCTGGCCCTGCTTTCCTCTCTACGATTTCTGAAACCCGACAATGCTTCTGAGATGCCTTGATCTTTGGGTCTCCGATTCTCTTCATCAGGAAAGCTTTTCTCCCTGCCTTCGAAGCAGTCATGGCCCGACCCGGCTTGCCATCCGACGTCCGGTTTGCGGGGATCCACCCTTTCCTGGGGCGGATCCGCCCTTTTTTGGGGCCACGGACCTTCTGCATAGCCTTCAGCACCTTCGCGCTATACACCGGGCTGAAAGCCACGGCAGGCTCGCCCGTGGCCGGGCCATCCAGGTCTGCAAGCCAAGCACTTAGCAAGGACAAGCCAATCCAAGCGCCCGCTCGGTGCGGGATTCTCTGCATGTCTGCCGGCCGGCTTGGCTCTAGATTACAGTCAGCAGAGACTCATGGCCTCCACCCCTACAAAGTATGCAGCATGCATGAAGTAGAGTGCGAATGCATTCTGGCGGCTGGCTACTGCAGCAGTTCCAACTAAGCTTATGCCTAGACTGGCCTGTGATGACCTGCGCACCTCCGAAATGCTTGCTGCGATGCTGTAATGCTCTATGCACGGTGAAAGGTCAGGTGTCATTGCATGTTATGCTCTGCGTTTCGAATCTCATGAAGGCCCTCTCATACCATACCTCTCGCGGAGCAGGGACCCCATGAGCGACTCTCAAGCCCAATCCTCGCGCGAGCTTTCCCCGCGGAGCTTGTGCCGAAATGTGCGGAGGACGGTGCAGAACTTCGAACAAGGCAGTAAGCTTCTAGCGCTCGAGGCAGGATTGTAGAAACCAAGGGTCCCTGAAGTCCACTGAGCTGGGGGTCGAGCAGCCACTCTACGAATCGCCTGTCACTTGCCTCTTCTGTATTCGAAAGAACGACTGATGCTCGACATGCCCGGGAAGGTTTGTCTGTGCCAGCAACAGAGACCGGACCGCCTCAGCCTTACGTCCGGCTTACACGGATAGTAAAACCCTGAGTCGAGCCCCCGAGACTCCAAGAGTCCGCACCGTCACGATTCACATCGACCTGTAGCGAGGGCTGGGACATTTATCTGAGTCCATTGTGTGCCTCCTTCTCTCTTGATGTGAGGCCTGTCAGCTACACTCAAAATAGTCTTGCCGTGGCAATAGCCCGCTTTGTGAGGAGACCAGCATGGAGGCATTGCCAGCATCGTTACCGACCAGTGGCGTGCCAATCTTGTCACGATAGAGCCAGCAACCTAAGGGCCAAATCCCAACAAACAGTCTGCTGAGATCATCCGAAGCAGAGCCCGACATTTGCGATGCAATGCACTACGTTGCATAGTGTGACACTGTACTGCATGGCTCTCGGTGCGCACACCACGACGTGACCTGAGACTGCAGATCCTCTTCTCGGGATGCGATGAGATGAGATGAGCTGGGATGAGAGGGATGGGGCACGTAGACGTAGCCTGGTCAAATCAGATCAGGTCAGGTCTGGCAGGCTGAGGGACTATATGCAAGATGAGTCCCTGTTTTTCTCTTAGACCAAGAAAGTATCATTGCAGACGAGACAAGCTTCTGAATTATGCTATCCCGAAGCCACGTCCGGCGCCTCTTCAAAGATGCGCTCCACCTGTTCGAGGCTTTCTTCCAAGTCGATCGTCTCCGCGACCTCTTCAAACATTCGGCCGGGACAGTCAGTCCTCGACGCCGATTCATCCACTGAAATCTGAAGCTGCATCCTCCCATCGAGGCCGAGACTTTAGACTGCACGTAGGAAGACCCCAACTCCAACAACAAATTTCGGTTCAGCAACGGGCGCGCAATAAGGCCGGCAAAGGTGTCTGCTAGTTACTGTACTCTCATGTTTGCCGTGGTTCAAGCATCTTGGATTGGCGTGGGTCGATTTCCAGCAGTAACACTCTCCAGGCCACCATTGAAATCAAGAGATTTGCGTGGCGAAGTGTCACAGAAACGAATCATAAACTCCTCATGTCAGCAGCAGGGCAGAACAACAAGATGCGAATCCCATCCGTCTCTACACGGCCTGCACCCTCATATTTCGAGGTTGTTGGATTGCTTGCGAGCTACGGACAACGTCCCGGCGCCCCCGGGAACTTGGAAATTCTTGAACTGGGCCTCCTGGGCCGTGAGCCCTCCGCTGTCGTCTTGGTCGAAACTACCTCGGCTTGGCTAGAGACAGGCACCCACTTCCCCAAACTACTACGGCAAGCCCCACCTAGAAAGCAAATTTCCAATGGCAGAGCAGGGTCTCAAGAGTTTCGGAGTTTGCGATTGGGATTGTTAAGGCTGGCTCGCACCCAAAGCTGATTCTTAGAGCCATTGAAAAATTGAGACTTCTGTGCGACAGGACGGTCGAGAGAACGGAAATTTCGGACCTGGGATCTGTCTGATGTTTAAAGCCTCATAGGAGGGATGGAATTGCTGTGAGGTTTTTCTGTTGAGTCGATCGCGCACTGATGTCATGCAGCGCTTCCAGGGCACCGACGAAACGCACGAAGCATGACGGCATGGTTGTCGATGTACATAGGCTTCCTTGGGATTCAAGCTTTCGGATATCTGGTGCAGGCTTTCCGAGCCCTTATCCTTCCCATGCCTCACTGCCAAACATTCCTAGCTTTCCTAAGCTAATGAAGCCCAGCGACCCTCCCCCGAACCCTTTCCATGAACAAACACCAAAGATCTTGCATGTCTGCTCTTAGGCACCCGCTCCAACGTGGCAGCCTCGGGTGAAAGCAGGCTCCCCTCGCCGCGGGTTTCCGCGGCGCATGGGTCTCGATGGCAAGAACTAACATCCAATCTCCTCAGCTACAACGACTACTTCCGGAGTCTTCTGCTTTTCGCAGCCAACGACACGGGGACGCTCTGCGGCAGTTCACAGGAAGGAAAGAAAAAGAAAGGCGTCGAGGGACTCATTCCAAGATGCAATCTGCGGACTTCCGTCGGGGGATCACGCCAGCGGCTTTACCGAAGCCCCCCTGCGCCCTAAACACAGCTAGCGAGAATGAAGCAGCAAGCTTCAAAGCCCGAAGCACGAAGCTGGGCTCTCAGCAAGGAATTCCGTGTAGTCGATGACGCCAGAGTGGTCGGCATCCAACTTGCAGAAGTAGTTCGGCGGTGCTTATCAACTCATGACTTAAGCTTTTTGCACTGTGCTGGACTGTCAGATGTGCTCTTGAGCAGCAGAGCAGCAGTGCTAGCAGTGGTAGCAGTGGTAGTCAGGTGCGAGGCTCTCCTTTGCATTGTCTCGGGGTCTCAGGGTGGTGCACAGCGGATCATCTCGTCGAGTAGCTCAGCATCGACACCGAGAGATCTGACCTCACCAGTGGCAGGGGATATGCAAGACATGTGTCAGGCTCCCGCTGTGACTCGCCGCACTCCACGAACCCTTTTCGTGACCTCGACAGTGCCATGCCCTCCAGGGGGCCAACTGAGAGCCTCGGCCTGAAACCCCGGCTAAGCGCGTCGAAGCTCCGAGGTCGAGGCGCCAGTGCTGAACTCCTGGGTCGTGAGGAGCCCGTCGCCATTGAGGTCCAATCTGCCGGGTCGCTTCCGGGGGCTTGAAATGGTTTCACCGACAGCCGGAAGGAACGCTTGAAATACCTGAGCGAAATCGGTCAGGAGTGCCCGCGAAAGAGCTCGCGAAGCTGGTGCAGGTCCTCGGCCTTGACCGGTACGACTCGAGCTTCGCACTGCTCATGTTTGGCTTCATCTCATCTGGTTGTCGCCAGTCGTAGCTTGGAAGGACTTCACAGGAACTGATGCTTCATGGCTTCATGTCTTCCTGCGAGTTGTTGCTTAGCTCAGGCAAAGATCCGGGGCCGCTGCATCCATGTGGAAGGCCACTGCCAGCATGGCGGCTCTGGGCGGGGTGTGCATGGAGGGCTGTGTTCATGAGGACCCCAGTTCATGAAATTCAACTAAGATTTGAGGAGTCGCAGCCTTGCACTGGAAGTGGAAGCATTTACATTTTACAGCGTCACTGCTTGACTGCTAGTAAGTTGATAAGGCGCCTGCACACGAAGTTATCCCTGAAGCCAAAGCCAAAAACCGACGCCCCCCCCCCTCCGATCGTATGTGTCGATCTGCCGGGCTTCAGTTTAGATCGGCTGCTCGCAAGGATTAAAGTCCAGTCAGCCGCGACGCGTAAACCTGAAATTCTGACTCCCATGCCACACCTGAAACACTGACGCCTTGCAACATCTTAACATCAAACCGGAAAACTCGATAGAGGCAGGCAAACACAAACCCTCTTCGAAGGGTTCTGACCCTACGGGCCCCTGATGCACCGAACAGCGCTGCAGTCTTCGCTCAGAAGCATGGACAGAGACAGAAATAGGCAGAGAGAGAGAGAGGAAGCGAGAGGGAGAGGAAAACATGAATTTGAGATCCCCACATGCACACGAACCTGTAGGTCCCACTGTGGGTGTTGCAATCCGGTCCCAGCCACGCCTGCGAAGATCGTGGTACTGGGAGAAAGACACAAGGCGCTCGACGGTCTCGTCCCGAAGATGAATGACCTGCGCTTTGCGGGTCTCGGGTGCATAGGTGCGCATGCCTCGTTGGAATAGGGCTGAGGTCGGGAGGTTCTTGCTGCAGTTGAGGCCACGGGGTTGTCCATCACGGGCTTTCCAGCGGGCCTCCCAGCGTCCTAGACCCTGTCACTCGATGTGTTGAGCAGCTGTGTCTTCAAGCACCACCTTTGTTATGCAGCGTATAGATTCGTTCCGTGGCAGTAGTTCGGATTGTCGTGTCAAAGGCGAGTGAAGAGGCGAGCTGACGTCGACATCTGCATCAGCTGCATGGTGTCTCTTGGGCAACCAATCGAAGAAAAAACTCCTATTCCGAACCCAGAACTCGAGAAATCCCAGTATCGAACTCTTGAACACTTGCAGCTGACTCCTTCTACTTTTTGACTCAACAACGTGCCTTGCCGCGGAATTTGTGCTTCAGCCATGGATGATCCAACGCCTGACACAGCCGAAAGGAGGTGTCCAGACTCCGATGACCTATACGGAGAGCGGCACGTGAAGGCCCACACAAAGACCAGGTGCAAGCTTGGCTAGAAGCCAACCACAACGACAACAGCAACAAAGCCACAAGCCGAAACATGATAACGGGTTCGACGACGTCGACAACGATGCCAAAGACCATGAACATTACGGAGAAGATGGAGATGGCAATCCTGCTAATGATTTGACAACGACAGTGACATGATGATAACGACGCCCATGATGATGACCGTGATCGTGATCGTGATGGTGATGGTGTTGATGTTGGTGATGGTCATGGTGATGGTTCTGGTGCTGGTGCCGGTGCTGGTGAGTGTAGTGGTGATGGTGATGGTGATGGTGATGGGGACGATGGTGATGGTGATTGCGATGATGATGATGATGATGTCAACAATGATCTGATGGTGATGGTGGTAATGGTGGTAATGGTGGTAATGGTGGTGATGGTGGTGATGGTGGTGATGGTGGTGATGGTGGTGATGGTGGTGATGGTGGTGATGGTGGTGATGGTGGTGATGGTGGTGATGGTGGTGATGGTGGTGATGGTGGTGATGGTGGTGAGGGTGGTGATGGTGGTGATGGTGGTGATGGTGGTGATGGTGGTGATGGTGGTGATGGTGGTGATGGTGGTGATGGTGGTGATGGTGGTGATGGTGGTGATGGTGGTGATGGTGGTGATGGTGGTGATGGTGGTGATGGTGGGTGATGATGATGACGATGATGATAATGGTGATGGTTGTGGTGCTGATGAAGATGATGACGATGATGATGATGAAGATGAAGACGAAGATGACGATGACGATGACGATGACGATGACGATGACGATGACGAGGAGGAGGAGGAGGAGGAGGAGGAGGGGAGGACAATGACGGCGACGGTGACAGTGACGATGGCGGTGACGGTCATGATGATGATGATGGTGATGATGATGATGATGATGACAATAATGATGATGATAATGATTAAGCTGACGATGACGACGACGATAACATGATGGTGTTACTTTCGACCAATATAAGAGCATGGCCACTTACTATGAAGCTAACACCGCACGTTCTGGAAACTGCATATCGAACTGCTACGACAAGGCTGCTGGCGAAAACAGTGCCTGTGCTCAATGTCACAGCCCTCCACGAGCAGCAGCCGTGGCAACAGTAGCAGCAGCACGCTGCAGTAGTAGTAGCAGTAGTCGTCGTCGTCGTAGTCGTAGTCGTAGTAGTCGTCGTAATCGTAGAAGTCGTAGTAGTCAAAGTACTCGTAGTAGTCGTAGTAGCCGTCGAAGTAGTAGGAGCAGTAGTAGTAGTAGTAGTGGTGGTAGTAGTAGTAGTAGCAGCAATAGCAGTAGCAGTAGCAGTAGCAGTAGTTAGAAGTAGTTAGTAGTAGTTAGTAGTAGCTAGTAGTAGCTAGTAGTAGTTAGTAGTAGTTAATAGTAGTTAGTAGTAGTTAGTAGTAGTTAGTAGTAGTTAGTAGTAGTTAGTAGTAGTTAGTAGTAGTTAGTAGTAGTTAGTAGTAGTTAGTAGTAGTTAGTAGTAGTTAGTAGTAGTTAATAGTAGTTAGTAGTTGGTAGTGGATAGCATTTGATAGTAGTTAGTAGTAGTTGATAGTTGTTAGTAGTTAATAGTTGTTAGTAGTAGTTAGTAGTAATAGTAGTTAGTAGTAGATAGTAGTAGTTAGCAGTAGGTAGTAGTAGTAGGTAGTAGTAGTAGTAGTAGTAGTAGTAGTAGTAGTAGTAGTAGTAGTAGTAGTAGTAGTAGTAGTAGTAGTAGTAGTAGTTATTGTTGTAGTTGTAGTAGTAGTAGTAGTAGTAGTAGTAGTAGTAGTAGTAGTAGTAGTTAGTAGTAAGTAGCAGTAGTAATAGTAGTCGTACTAGTAGTAGTAGTAGTAGTAGTAGTAGTAGTAGTAGCAGTAGTAGGAGTAATAGTAGTAGGAGGAGGAGGAGGCACCCCCTACCAACTACACTTGCTCTCAGCCTTGTTAAGACAACATCCAATTTACTCCGTATTTACAGCACTTTCGTTATGTAGGATCATCTCATGAGGCCTGAAAATCGACTTGTCGAGTTTGCAAACTCGAGCTTCGGATTTTGGATTTGCTTTTTGGGTGGGTTGGCGGGGGAGGGGGGGATGATGACCACATTGTTACACAGACACCTCGAACAATATCTCCAGAAGAGCCGATTCACTCGGTATTTACAGTACTTTCGTGATGTCGGACCATTGTATATCGTCACCAAACCTACTTCTGGACGTTGCGAACTCGACCTTGGGATTTCGAAGAGCTTTCGGCAAAAACTCGAAATTGGTTGGGGGTAAGCTTTTTCGGGGATGATCACGACACTGTTTTGTGGACACCCCGAACAATATCTCCACACCCTAGAGCGCACACACCACACACAACTTCAAAAACAAACCCTCCTACGCCAATTTCTACGTACAGCTGGCATCTTTGGTTTTGATGTTTGGAAGAGGTTGTGCTTCAGGTCTTAGAAGTGTTAAAACCTTCTTGGCAGCACCTGCGTTTTGAACGGCACTTACAGCGTTTGCGTACTATCCGACCACCTGTGGTTTAGCAGTTTCGTCCACGTCGAGTTTGCAACTCCAGCTGCTGTCTCAGTTTTGGGGCATGAGCCTCTGCAACTTCACCGGCTGTGACAGCTAAGGAAACTGAGGCTGCAACTTCTGCAGCTGTCACAGATGGGGAGCCTGAGCCCTCGCGTTTCTGCAACTGTCGCAGTTAGGGCGTCCAGAAGCTACCACTGCCCAGCCCGGATGGAGCAAGTGTAGTTGGGAGGGGGGGAGATGGTAGTAGCAGTAGCAGTAGCAGTAGCAGTAGCAGTAGCAGTAGCAGTAGCAGTAGCAGTAGCAGTAGCAGTAGCAGTAGTAGTAGCACGTAGTAGCAGCAGCAGTAGTAGTCGTAGTAGTAGTAGTAGTAGCAGCAGCAGCAGTAGCAGGTAGCAGGTAGCAGGTAGCAGGTAGCAGGTAGCAGGTAGCAGGTAGCAGGTAGCAGGTAGCAGGTAGCAGGTAGCAGGTAGCAGGTAGCAGGTAGCAGGAAGCAGGAAGCAGGTAGCAGGTAGCAGGTAGCAGGTGCAGCAGTAGTCGTCGCATCGTTTCAGCAGCAGCAGAAGCAGCTTAAGCATGATCAAGGAAAGAAGAATAAGAAGAGCTCCCTTAAGGCCGGAGGACGTAGGGTGATTGAAGCAAAGAGGTTGATTTCCATGTCACGCTTGACCTACCACGCCTCTGTCACGGTGAGCCGCTTGTCCAACTCGACCTTCATTAAGACGGGCAGCGGGCTCACTTTTCGGGCAGGAGCTATGCCTCAAATCACCCTCCCGGCTACAGGATAACATCAGGCATACTGAACGGATGGGAAAACAAGAAGCAGCAAATCATGCAGCTCTTCTGTAGAGTTCTGGATGTGGTGATGCTCCATCTCCATCCACATGTGAAAGGCACAGACACTTGCACTCTTCATGTCGGAATTGGCAGCCTTGATTCCTCAACTCAACTTGACTGGAAGAGATGGATGCCCAGGGCATCCAGCGCGCCTGGAGGCATCGCCGGATGAAGTGCTTGCAGCCTCTGATGCTCTTGCTGACTCTTGCTCTTGAGTTTGTGGGACAGGGGTGATCAGTCAGAGACGCCGGCTGGGCCGCAAGTCGTTCACTGTAATCAGGGTTCCCCCCGTCGGAGTTCAGGGCTTTTGGATTCCAGGGGCTGAGATTCTGAGGCTGAAGGTTTGCATTGGGAATATTTGAAGTTTCGGTCCCCAATAAGCTATCACTCGTCTAGCAATCTAGCAGGCCTGATAAACAAAGAACTGCCCGAAACACTACGGAGAAGCGGAGGAGACAGAACCCTGACACGCACAGAAACAAAACGACCTGGCCAGCATATTGATTGACTTTGCAGTCACGGCCCCACGAGAGGGCTGCTAATGCTAAATGGCCGGTCTGTGTCAGACCCTGACCAATCTTGCCTGAGTGCTGAACAGCGTTTCGTGAATCCTACTGACAAACTTGAACCTTGCATATCCAGATCCCCATCATCCTCCACACCCACAACAACAACAGCAGGAAACACAAACGTAAACACCCTCCTCAAACTAGTCCTCCTCAGAACATTACCATCGCTGTCGTCGTCATCATCATCGTCAACATCATCGACATTATTACTAACATGATCATCATCATCGTCCTCATAATCAGCCCAGCAGCAGCAGCAGCACCAGCAGCAGAAGCAGCAGCAGCCGCAGCCGCAGCGGCAGCGGCAGCGGCAGCGGCAGCGGCAGCCGCAGCGGCAGCGGCAGCGGCAGCCGCAGCGGCAGCGGCAGCGGCAGCGGCAGCGGCAGCAGCCGCAGCAGCAGCAGCAGCAGCGGCTTCAGCAGCAGCAGCGGCAGCAGCAGCAGCGGCAGCCGCAGCAGCAGCAGCCGCAGCAGCAGCAGCAGCAGCGGTAGCCGCAGCAGCAGCAGCAGCAGCAGCCGCAGCAGCAGCAGCAGCAGCAGCAGCAGCGTCGTCAGCATCAACATCAGCATCTGCACCACCAGAAACCCCACCACCACCACCTCCATCTTTAACTCAATCTTTGAGCTTGCCCTGCCTTTGGAGACTCCGTGCCATTGGCTGGAAGGGAAGACGAACCTCTCCGAGCAACTACTTCGCCGATGCTTTGACATGTACAGAATCCTGGATCGGAGTTTTTCGGACACGTGGACCTGCATTCAGAAGACTAGCTCGCGAGCCAACCTTATTGATTTTCTTTGCAGGAGATCCAGCTTCAATGTCTCTGTCAAGACATGGTTGCACTTGCAGATTTCTCAGCCGATGCGGAATCAAAGTCTGATGTGATAAGGCCAAAGCTCAACGGGACTCACAAGCGGAAGATCTGTGACACCACATAGACGTAGCAATTGGACAGGATGGACGAGTGGAGATGCCAGGCCGCACTCGTACAGAACAAGGCTCCGATGTCTTTGAAATGAACAGCATGGGGCGACAACGAGGTTGTGGCTTTTGCTCTGACTTGTTAGTAACTTAGTACTGCCTAGTTCCCGTACAAACGTGGATCACTGCTCTGCGGAGCAAATCGGCCTTTCTCTGAGGACATCCCTGCCTGAAGCTTCTTCCGAGCATTGCTGTTTATATTACGCTACTAAAAATGGTCTTTGTCGTGGCTGCTATTGCCGTTCCTGATGCTCCTGCTTCTCCTCCTACTCCTCCTCCTCCTCCTCCTGCTGCTGCGGCGGATGCTGCCGGTCAAGCAGCAGATGTTGGAGGTTGTTATCAGGGTGCCCGTTCTAACCAGCGAATTCTCCATCACGCGGATCTCAAGGCCATCACGAACCCTAAACTCCATACCTCACTCCACACAGCCTCCCAGCGTTGACCAAGCGCAGGGTTTCCGCATCACTCTCTCCAAACTCAGCAGGTGGAAGGGACTTCAAGGTCTTTAGCCAAAGGTTGCAACCACGTGGGTGTAAGCTGAATTTTTCAAACAGGAGTCGGGGTGCCAAATCGTCTCACACTTGGTCAAGGAAGCCACGGCTTGTGCCCTAAAGACAACCCAGACGATTTCGGTGATCTTGGAGTTGCCTCTTTCAACCTGCCACTTGTCACAGATGTGCGCCAGGGTGCGAACCGAACGACGGGGCTAGGACTTAGAAAATTGTGGAATCTGGCTCTCGGGCTTTTGTCAAACAAGCCAACTGCACAAGCCAGACAGCTGGCTTCACAGGAAGAGCACGATACTAAAATCTGTTTTTGTGTGAAGCTGAACCCGTCACTTCTCGAAAGCACTAAGTCTGGGGAATGTAGCCAATCCGTTTCAGGACAACTGATAGCGAATTCATACGGATGACAAACCCTCACAGCCTGTCTTTGAGCCCGTCCCATCCTGGGTGGCCGTGCAAAGGGGGGGACTCCAGACAGCAGCAGGAAGCACAGAGCTCCAAGACTCCAGATGTCGCACCTCTCAGAAAGGAGGTCAGCAACACATCTCCGATCCCAGAGCCCAGAATGAGACTGGGGCTCGCGTCCGTAGCTGCCGGAGAGGACTTCTGGGGCCACCTCTCCAGGTTGACGGTGAAACTGGCCGAAGTCTTCAGGTCCGGGACATCTGGGACGAGTCACATCTTAGCTTGACTCCCATGTGCCATCTGAGCTCAAGGTAGACTTGGTTTCTGCTCAGGTCGCTAGGATGCTGCTACTGATCTATCTCAATCCTGCCAGGACGACTTCGACTTCTTGCGAATTTGGTGATGACATGCGAGGATTCCAAACAACTTGACAGCCCGGAACTTCCATTACAGCGTTCCGTAAAGGCTCCAATCTTGAACCAAGCTAGGGGACCGGCGTAATACGGGCTGCCCACTTTGGTTTTAAGCGATTTGCCCTCCTGAGCGCTCTGAAAAGGCAGAGACCAGCATGCTCAGGGGTACAGTACAGTGTTTCAGCACTGGCTGTTCTTTCGGTTTGCGAGAGTTGATGCGAGGGTGCAAGTACAGAGATCGTCCGCAAGAAACACGCGAAGCATCAACACGCTAGCAGACTTAGACTTAGACAACAACACAAACCATCAAATGGATTGGTTTAAAAAGGACCACTTCTACGCATAAACGCTAACAGTTTCTGTTGTGAGCCTGCATGCTGCTCCACTCCACTTTACCATTGCGCTGGCACCACTAAACCATCCAGGCCGTGTGTCATCGGGTGCTCTGCACGAGTAGCCAAAGTCGACCAGGCGAAGCTGTGAGACCATGCTCTCGGCCCTGTCCGCCTCCCGTGCTTTTGGAGACTTCTCGTTCTGTACCCTTATGCCATTACCCGCCGGACATGGGACAACACTGGGCGGTCGGGTGGGGGTAAGGTTGGAGCCGGGTTATTCGGTGCTCTTCCTCGAATGGTCAAATGCTCTGAGCAAAAGAAGTTGGGGCAGCACCATCGCACTAATCCATCAGCATATCAGACTCATTGTTCATGATTAAACTACCTTGCTGGGGACTGTGTCTTCGTCGACATGCTCCCTTGGCCCGCCTTGTACATGATGTTTTCCGGCCTTGGCAAAAGCTACATCGATTCAGATGTTGGTCTGCACACATCAAAGGCTCGGACAGATTGGGACTGTCGCGGGTAGGGTAAGTTCTGGCAAGTTGCGGATTCTGCTTTTCATGGTGGTCCACGTATCGAGCGGTTGCTGTCTGTGTCCCAGACCGGTGCGCTGGGGACCAGGCTTCAGGTCGCGGTGGACGTAGCCGTTGGCATTGAGGTAGTTTAGCCTGCAAGATCACTGGACCCCAAAGGCAAACACGCTTGAAGCCAGATTCTCACATGCACGGCCGGTCACCTTACGATCCTCGTGGGGCTGGGGCTTGGAGTTACGGCTTACGGGGTTGTGTTTGGGAATCTGCAGCTTCACTGACTGGCAGACATATCCTGGGGCCGCCGCGCGGAAAGCATTCCTCGCATGACCATAGCGGCCCTTGGTCAAGAGTTTGTACTACGAGAAGAATCTTTTGCACCGTAAGTTTCAGAGCGTGCTGTTTGGAGGTTCAGATGTTACGGGCCTTTCAAGGATCACAGTGACCACAGCAAGCGGTCAAGCTGTGTTGAGCAGGCGACTGCGGTTCAGCGATTGGGGCACTTTAACGGCAAACTCCTTTAAGTGCTTCATGTTCCGTCCTAGATGGAATCCTCTTATGTGATCGCCATAAAGCTGAAAAGTTGCAGAGGACCGCCGCCAAGTCTGTGGGGGGGAGTTGCTGGAAGGCTTTCCATGAGAATCTTGTTTCGGAAGATGTTGCAGGGATTTGCAGGGTATCCACAGCTTTTATGCCTTAACCTTAAGCTGAGTGCTGAAAAAGTCACACAGTTTGACGGTCATCACCAAATAACAAGAGCGCAAGAAACGGACCTAAAGCCTCAAACTTAGCCTGATGTTCGAGCGGCCAGCTCTTCGTGACGCCACTTTCACCGGCATAACGCGATGACGGTGGTGATAATGCTGATGACGACGTAAAAGAAGATACAAATCCACATGAAGATGCAGATGGAGATGATGATGATGACGACGACGATGATGGCGATGATGGCGGTGATGGCGGTGATGGCGATGATGGCGATGATGGGCTGGTACTGGTGCTGGTGCTGGTGCTGGTGCTGGCGGCGGCGGCGGCGGTGGCGGTGGCGGTGGCGGTGGCGGTGGCGGTGGTGGTGGTGGCGGTCGTGGTGGCGGTAATGTTGGTGACGAAGATGAGGTGAAGATCAAGATGATCAAAAAGAGAAATTAAGATTAAGAAAACGATGGTCATGATGGTGATGGTGGTTGTGGCGATGATGGCGATGATAAGGAGGAGGAGGAGGAGGACGAGGAGGAGGAAGATGAGGGTGAGGATGAGGAGGATGAGGAGGATCAGGATGATCAGGATGCTGAGGAGGACGAGGATGAGGATGAGGATTACGAGGACGAGGGTGATGGCGACGATCATGACGATGATGACAGCGTCGCTGACGCTGAAGTTGAGGGTGAGGGCGAGGGTAAACCTTAATGGTGATGATAGTGGTGATGATGGTCATGATGCCGATCGTGGTGATGATGGTGATGGTGACGATGGTGACGATGGTAATAGTTGTGATGATGGTAATGTGATGACCGTTGCGCTTCCTTTTTTCTGGTGTGGTGACAGTTCTCGTTCTATCTACTGCGGTTACTTATTCTGTGTTCTAAGTGCTTGGCGAATCTGGGCCTCGCGCGCCAACTCGTCCATTATGCCGTTGGAGAGCAGGTTGTCGAGCACGTCACCGCCAGCACAGTACTCAAGAACCAGATACCTGCAACCCGATACCCTTGCCACCTTTCCCGAGGCAGAGGATGTAGTAAGGAGCCACACGGGTTAAAACACAGTATTGTAGTCAGGAAATAGCTGCGAGGCCGGAAAGTGCTGGAGCTGCAGAAAGCCACGCTTAACAAGCTCACGTGAAACCAGCAAAAGGCAGCCCAACAGCTTGCAGTGCAACTAGGGCGCAAATAGTCGTCGTCCTCGAATGTTTCCTTGGTGGCTTCGGGAACCCTGGTTCTCTTCTTGTTCTCGAAATACAATAAGTACAGCAGAATCGGGTTTGTGCCTGCAGGCTTTTTCGCCACAGGCGCCTGATCTGCAAGCAAAGCAACTTCTGGCTATTTGGGCTCTGATGGTTCAAGGCTTGCGCTGGAGCGGACGTGCCCCGACCTGTCTCGGCACGTACTCATACTACATCGGTTAAGTGCCTTGAGCTTGTGGCTGCCATGCTGCTGTACAAGGGGTGAATTTGTCGATCTTTTAACCTTTCATTTCGAGAGTCGAAGAGCTTGACGATGTTGGGGTGGTCCAAGGTCTTCATGATGGCCACCTCCTGGATGACACGTGCAATCTCTCCGGCACCTGGCGGGAAGTTATTTGGATGTTTGCAGGGTTCATGCACTAAGAGGCCTGGACTGCCTGCCACCTTCAGGATGTCAGGTCAGGCATGACAGGAGTGCAAGCACTAGAGCCCCGAGCTCGGGAGCCCTTGCAAACCGCAAGGACGGACAGACTCGGCCGGATGGGGGCTTTCCTCCAGCTGAGAAGCAAGCTGCAGATATCAGATAGTCCAACCCTACCAATTTCGAACCCGCTCCAAAGTTCCACGGCGAGACGCTCGAATACTCTACTACTGTCTACCAAAGGTTCCACGATTGAGCCGGAACGGCGGATGGGCTTTGTCGAACCCGAAAACAAACCGTGGCCCTACCTTGGACTACCCTCAACCCTCAAAGTCACGACCCTGCTCAAACTTGAACCCAGGCGAAGCACTCTTCTTGGCAATCCGCTTCACGGCCCGCACGGCCTCACACAGTGCAGACGGATTTGGTGGCTTCCTGCTTGATGCCGCGAAGTGCCACTGCCCGGATATCGAGGTCCCAGGGCTGCTGGAGCCCTCGCGGAGAAAAGCCTCGGGCACTCAACCTGCGGGCCTTGGTTGCCAGCTCTACGGCCCTGAACACCTGGGCCGATCCGCCAGCATTGACCTCAGTGCGAGGAGTTAATCTTGCTTCGGGGTACACACGCGTAGGGTCAGAGCAGTGCTGTTTTTCGTGGAGACGCCCCCTTGATCATCCCTTCAAGCCTCCAACCCAGCCCGTAGATAAGCTAAAAGTTCGATGGATACCAACAATAAGTGGATCAAACTCCTAAAGAACTCTACCCTAAAGCCGGTTCCTGAAGCAGCCAAACAAATTCGGAGAGCCAAGCCCAAGCCAGAAGTCGACTTCCCGAGCCGCAGACCTCCTCGTGCACCTGGTAGAAGTCATCCTTTCTTCGTGACAAACAAAACTTTGGCTTCAGCCGCACGGTTCTGCCACATATTTGGGGGGGGCCAAGGCTTAAAATTGAGCCTCATGCAGACAAGTGAAAGAAGGCTTGGGAGAACCCTATTCTGCAAGTGAATGTGTCATAGAGTCTTTGTCAAGCGCGAAGGCTCCCAAGCAAGTTCATGCTGCTTCGGCTTGCCAAAGCCTTGCTGGTCTCAAGATTCTGGCTTGAGGGTGAAACCTTGGATGGCAATGCCCGACATTGCCCTATGCGCTTCCACTGAGCCTGTCCACACCCGGTTCAAGACTCCTGAAACCCTTTACAACTTTCAACTTGCAAGCCTGCTTCGCCCCTATCCTGTAGAAACTTGTCTGGAGTTTGATACAGACCGTCGCTGAGAAAGGGGAAGTGAGCACTGCAGTGCTCAGTCACTGCTGTCAAGGTTGCAATCCAAGTGGCAATGTTGCCAGAATTGTTGATGATGAAGCCTCACTGTTGCTGGGTGTAGGGAGATTCAAATTATTCATGTTTTGTTGGTTTGCTGGGTGTGAAGATCTTCTTGCATTGTGATACCGATGCTGCCTGCACCGCTTGCACCCTGCACCCGGAAATTCAACCCTTGGCCAATGGCTCCCGAAGATTCCTCGTCTCATTCCAACTGGCAGCCGCGGCACAGTGGATGCCAAAGCCCGGGCCCTCGGCACCCGACTTCTTCCCTGCCAGCTGTACCTTTGCTACGTCATGAAGTTTGGAGCTTTTCTCACAGATGGCTGCGGGAGGGTATCCTCACCTCCCAACCCCAATCTTCTCAACTGCAATTTGGCTTGGTAGGGCTTGCTTCCAGTCGCGATAGAATCTGTAGAGCATCTGCCCAGGCACCCCTTTGCGGCGCTGCTTCTTGCTGCGCTTGGCATATGCCCCCCCTGGCAGGAGTTTGGAATCAAGTGATGGACAAACTTATTACTGGTGCGATGCCAATACCCTCAACCCCTAAGCGGCAGTGCGACGTATCATTTCCGGCAGGGTCCACGTAGGGGAATCTGAGGGATTCGACTTTCAGAAACCGTTTCAGGACCCCCAGGCCCCGAAAAATCCGCTCAGGTTGCCTCCATCTTTGGCGAACCAGGCATCGAGGATGCCACGCATTGAATTCCACAGGCTTTCGCGCACTTGGTCGGGGTGCCGGGTGAACACCTGAGTCCGATGTAGATGGTTTGACCTTTTATGTCATGTAAAGGAACAGACTCGGCACGGAAAATGTTACAGTTCAGCATGCCTCTGCTGCACCGGTGCAGACCTTGAAAAACTCGCTCAAACTATTGACCCATGTGGATGGCCCCTACATGGCATTGAAAATGGAAACCCACCCAAAAACAAATAAACGAATTGGCATTTCTATATGTCTAGGTTCCAAGCGCAGGGTCACGGAATGCTCACTAGGATACTCAACATTGAAGCTATGAGCCTGTTCATGGGGGAGAGCCTCCCGGTAGATTGTAGTAGCTGGTCATGCACTTGTCTTCAAAGCTTTCAAAGACCCGGAATTGAACCCCCTAACCGACAATCACAAGCCAGCTTCTGTGGTCGAAGCCTGAACTCTACGACTCCACAAGTCCTGTGGGTCGAGGTTTTTGGAACTCGAAGCTGGCAGTTCAACGAATCCAGAGTTTGACCAGCGTTTTTTCACGGATCGTCAAAACTCCTCCCCATCGGCCAGGGACGGCTGCAGGTTCAGTACACCATCGACGGCTCGAAAGCAAGCGGCAACTGCCACCTGGACAGTACACCCGTAAGCTCCAATCCCATGCTTAGACCCTAAATTCCGGAACCCCCTGCAGGCCCCCAATCCCGGAGCCACCTTCAGGCCCTCACCCCGATTCTTCCAGCAACCCAGCCTTCAGCCCGGCCGTTTGCGGAGCCTGCGGCTGCCTCGCCAAGACCACACCCTGCAGGAAAGGGGTAGGCTGAATCCTTGGAGCCAATGCAAAACAAGCATGTGTCTTTAAGATTGCGTTCACACAACATCCTATAATTCAAAAAGAAGCCGTCGAGAAAAAGATGCTCAGAGCAGGGCTCGCGGCTGTGGAAACGCGGAATCACTGAGGCGCGCGGTGGGAAGCCACTGGCTCCCGTTTTGCCTTCCTCGGAGATCACACTCCGTCCAAGTCACAACACCATGCACCAGGGAGGCACCCCTGAAAGCCTGGAGTGTGACCTTGGGACACCGCAGCATCTTCGGAAAGCTCGCAGCGAAGTCTACTTCACAGAGGGTGACGGCCTCGCTCACGACCCGGTGCTCGACTTGCCACAGGCTGCACGGGAAACGGTGGTACGAGTAGGTAGCGTTCTGGCACGCTGTAGTCCAGGCTGGGTGCAGCTTGTTGATCCGAGAGACATCCACGCCACAGACCTCTTCAGAAAAGAACTTTCCTCTGGCACAGGCGGACTTCCACCAGAACAAGAACAACAAGCCGTAGCGTGTCGGAAGGCTAAGTAAGCTCCGCTTCAGCCCACATGATCCATTCCGCCCGGCCCCTTTCCTCACTCCGCACCTCCGCTGTGACGGGCTGTCGGCGATGCCAGAGGCCAGCGCAGGACAAAAGGGCAGCACGCACCCTGAAACCTCTGACAGCGCTTTCACGAAAGGATGCTTGTCAGGCTCTCGGGCCTGGGCCCTTCGTTGAGTTCAAACCTTCTCTGTTCAGATGCTCACATCGTTCTATGTTCAAGAAGCCTCTGGGCATCAGCACGGCACCGTCTGCCAGGGTCCAGCGTAAAGCATCCACCTGGGAACCCCGACTGAGATGCAGAGGGTGAGGGGTTGAGATAGGGATCTACTCATCGAAAAATGCATGCGGTCAGCCTGCGCCCAGTGCTGCCAGAAATGGGCATCACAGGCCATCCCCTCGCACTCGGTGGCATAGGGCTCCCCACAGATCCTAGGTCTGTGTGGGTGTGTGGGGGGCGGCAAAGGCGAGGTTGGAAGCTGGCGGCTCCTTGCGATTAACTCACAAGGCCGAAGGCTAAGGATGGCATCTGTCCGGTGGAGCACTCGGTGGCCTTCGAAGGAAGCCTTTAAGAGTAAGGCACAAGCGACTAGATGCAGACAATAAGGTGGCTTTTGGAAAGACGTGACGTAATTGAAAAAGCTTGCCAAGGTCAGGTGCCCGTCTCATGCGCACGCTTTCCGGCGCGAGGCTGGGGCTGCATATCAGGGGCTGGATGTGGCAGAACCTGGGCATCCACAAACTTTCGAACCTGCTCGGCTCGAATTGCAGAGTTTCGGCTGTGTGGCTCTGTATCTGGTGGAGTGGCTGCAAAGCTGTGGCTGGTGGGAAGGAGCGGTTATTCGCAATAAACCTGAAGCCGACGCCAGCCAACCAACCAACAAAACAAGAAAACTATCACTCAGTCTCAGCTGAGCAGTCCAAGAAAGCGCAGTCTTAAGTTACGCTTGGACCCGAAATCCTCAGATCCAAGCTTGAAGGCAAGGCGCCGTGGCTTCCACAAACGTCCCTGGCCCGACTTGAGCACATCCAGGGCGGCGCCCAGGCCATCCTAGCAATGCAACAGGAGTTTCAAGAGGCTGAGGCCTGGTGTCCGGGCCCGAAGCCTTTTTAAAGGACGCCGAGGGCTTGCGGACCTCACACATACAAGTTCTCGAGTTCTCGATCTCGAATATACAGGAAGCCCCCGCCTCAGAGGACTCGAAGCTCAGGATGGTCGGCTTGCGACCGGTGATGCGCAGCAGCCGGCGGAGGCGCTGAGATCTGGGCCGAAGACCCTGGGATCGTTTTTGTCGGTGGATCTCTCTCACAATCTATCTCTCTCTCTCTCTCTCTCTCTCTCTCTCTCTCTGCTTTGCTCTGAGGGATGGGGCCCAGGCAGACCCTGACTCCCTCTCGCTCTCTCTCGTTCACATCTTGCTTCGCTCGCCTTGAGAAGAAGAATTTCCCAAACAGAGCAAGTTCCCATCACGAGCGGCTCGGTATGGCGTCTATCACAGGGGACAACAGTTGCTGAATGCAGATCAAAAAGCTCCCAAGCGAGCGAAACAGCCCGAAAGCGGTCCTGAAAGCAGTAGGCTCATGAAGGGACCGTCCGAGAGGTCGAGCACGAGAATTCCCGCATGCTCTTGCAAGGGTTGCGGCCGCAGACCCCGCGCTGCCTTGAAGGCTTCGCGCTTGAGCTGCCGCCATCGCTCGCAATCTGCCAGGGCCCAGAGCCGCGGCGAAGGAAAGAACTCCAGGTTGCTGCAGGCCCGTGGCAGCCGTGGCAGTGGCAATGACAGAGACTTCCCCACATCAGCGATGCGGAACCAGATATCCTCATCGGTGTGGAACATCGCGAGGCGTAGCTCCTCCCCTTCCTGGATGAAGCGGCGTGGCCCCGGAAGCAGGGACACAGCCTGGCGCCAGTGGCCAATCTCAGGGCGGGCAGGCATTGAATCGGCCCGAGTTGTCATCGGCAAACCAGCGGGTGCGTTGGTCATGGTGGGCAGGGGGTCAGCACGGACCATGTAGCAGTACCACCAGAACACCACGGCGTCGAGCCAACCAGCCTGGCTTACCGTTGCCGTGATCACCTCGCACCTGCCCGACTCAGGCGGGAGCGACTCAAAGTTAAAGGATAACGCGCTGAACTCTTCTGTCAAGATCCTGGCCTCTCCTGCATCCACAAGCCTCCCCAATACGACGTCATGCGGATTTGCATCTCCGGCATCGCGAGCAAAAACCTCGGGCGCCCACCAAGTGCCCTGCACGCATTGCCAGGACCTCAAAGTGCTACTCTCCACCCCACAGGCACAAATATCAGCAGCTGCAGGCACTGCGAAGTAGTCCGAGCACAGTAGAGAGCCAGCTGCGTGGCGAAGCGTCGGCAAGCAGTCCTCACCCAGCAGACCTGCATCCAAGATCTCGGCCACGAGCAGACTCGCCCGTGGAGGGGTAGCTTCCACCGTGTCCGCATCTGCCAAAGATGAGACAGTGGTTGATCGAACAGCCCGTACAGAAAGCTGACCTTCCAAGCGGTTCTTCGCTGCATTCTCTTCCGCGACCCGTGCCAACGCAGCGTCGGCCTCAAAGGCGATGACTCGCGACAACTCGGGCCTCTCTCGCAGGAGGCACATGCCCAGCACCCCAGTTCCGCACCCGATATCCAGCGCGATGCCTTGGAGGGCCTTCTTTGGAAGCCGAGCAAAGGCACCACGAAATGCAGACAGGCGTGCTTCATCGTGGATCATGTCGAAGTGCCATGCATACGCTTCCAACGCTTCCAGCTCGGCTTTCCGAGGCCCCCTGTCGCGCGGCGCCCCCGGCGACCGACTGCGTGACCGTGACGTCATCGAAACGAAAGCCAAAGCCAACTTCAAGGCCCTCCTGGAGCCCAATTCCCAGAGCTGCAAAAGATTTTAAAGCTTACTTGGGACTCTTCTACAACAGAGCTGCCTATGTCGTGGCCTCCACCACAGATCAAGACACCTCTGCGAAAGCCTTCAAGCGGGAAACATCTGCGACTAAACTTCTCAAACCCCAGACCGAAGCTTCATCTGAGCTCGAACCGCACAAATATGGCCCGGAATGAAATGCCTAGCCGGGCCACGAAGTAGAGGGCCTTCCCCGTCACTGTCTTCCCACAGCATCCCTTCACCTGGGCAGGGCTTCCGGATCCACTTCAGCAAATTGAACAGATGTTCCTTGGACAACAAACTCCAGCTGACATCTTCAGCAAGGAAAGTTTTTCCTTGTAGCATCGGGGTCATTAGCTGGCCTCGTTCCGGAAGCCCCGCCAGAGCCGCCGCCGAAAGCGGCGAAAGCGGCGGCAGAGGCGGCCTGTGAAGGCTCAAGAGCTGGAGGGCTGCGGACTCGCGAGTGATAAGATGGACGGTTCTCTGTAAGCGGCTGCAAATTTTTACTGCCGCCAGGAGCAGGAATGAGCAGGAGAGCCGAAACTGTTTACTCGCCACAGCCCACCAGGGGCCCGGCCGAAGCAGTGTCTCTGCTTCGGGATCTCCTGGCAGGAAAAGTTGGGCTGCTCTCCCCACACCAGGATCCCTACGGAGCTCCCGAAGCCGAACGAGACTCCGTGGCACGCCAGCAACTGCAAAAAACATGAGGACCTCTCTCTCAGGAGGCTTTCCCTAAAGCCCGGCAATGACTCGAAACCTTCTTCCGCCATCAACATGAAACAGCAATTTTTCTCCCCATGCTGCCCCCGGACCAGAGACACATCGCAAGCTTCTGGGAAGCGCTTCCAGAAGCTTCAGAACCGTTACAGATGCTACACGTACCAAGGACACAGCGGAGGAGCTGCTGCTTGAATGATGGCTTCGGGATGTGGCACAGGGTTTGTTGAGGCTTCAGCTTCCGAAGGCTTAGCTGCAGACTCCTCCTCCGGAGTCGAGACAGACGGCTCGTAAAGAAGGCGAGCGGTGCTGCGCAGGCCCTTCGCAGGAGGGGTGGAGCAGTGGAAGGCGTAACTCTTTCAACAGTTTTCTGCACGTTCCGGAGGTCATGAACCACAGATGTTCCAGAACCGAGAGTCCTGTACCTTTCAGGGTTCAGGGTGCCAGGTGCTGCAGCGTTGTTCTTCAGAACCGAACGGCGTTCCGCTGTAACCTTGAAAGTTTCGGTCCACATTGCACGAGCCTGCCACACTGAGCCGAAGCTGTCCAGTAAAGAAGTGGATCTTCCACGAAAAAGAACCTGTTAGAGTAGCTCCTGACCTTCGAAAGCACCCAAAACCGCGCACCTGTGGCAGGGCCGTGCCTCCTGTCAAAAAAAGTTCCCAAGAGCAGAGGTTTTGGTTCAAAGGACCGTTCGGATTGCGAAGGCAGCAGGATGTGGAAGTGCGTTGAGTTTGTCATGGGTTGAAGATAGATTCTAACTAGTTTCCCCCACCGCCCACCCGCTTGTAAGACAGACGAACATGCGTGAGAAGGCCCTTGTCCTCGCTCTGGGAAACCCGCCGTCGACGACCTGCACAGCAACGTTGATGACCCCGAGATCCCACACAGAATCCCGGAGTTGACGGTGGTGCAAGGCATGTATTAGATCCACAAGCATCCTTAAGCAAGAGGCATTTGCAATTCAGGGGCGAATAGGCGTTCGGCCCGGCAAGTCTGATCTGCACTTGGGCTATGCAAAAAGAAATCGCCAAGGCCACTGCCACCTGGCATGCCCAACTTTGACCAAGAACCAGCTGTCCATCAACAACAACCACAACTCGAAAGGCTAAGCCTGTACGAGCCTGGTAGCCATCCATTGCTAAGCCGAGCAAGGCCAGTCGGAGGAAACCACAAGAAGAGAAAGCTGGGGGCTTTGGGGATGGGGAATTTAGAGGAAGCTGCATTTGCTGTGTTTTTGACTCGGAGGCAAACATTCAACCCGAATCTCCTTTGGCTGCCGATAGTTCAAGGCTTGTGAAGCAGCTTTTGCGCTTGAAAGGTTCCTTGCCGGAGCTCGAGCTTGTCTGCAGCTGAACTATGATGAAACCGATACATCTCGGACCGGAGCATGACTGCAGGTGAGGGCTAACCAGATGTATTGCAAGCGGGTCATTACGTGGGTGCTCAGCCAATGGCGTGTGGGCTCCCAAGTCAGCAACCAGTCGAAGGGCTTCACTGTAAGTGGAATGACGAATGCGAGACATGTAAGTCTGGCAGATGCTGTTCAGCCGGTAGCTCGGGCATGAACGCTGTTTGTTTTCCGCATCCTTTCGCACGGGCAGATGGCTTTATCCCTCTGGCGTACAGCGTCGTGCAGCTTGCCACAAGTCACTTCAAGGACCTCAGAGGTCAAATGCAACCTGGTTGAATTGAGTGCTTCTCATGCTCTCTTTCCCTGCCCTGCAACTTTTGGGGGCACGGACGTGGCAAGAAGTGCACGGGAAGAAGGCAGCCAGGACGGAAGAACCACGAACCACTATTTGGAACTCACCAGTTGCATCAGCACCCCGCTCTCGAGCCCCGCGCGCCAGTGTCAAGCGCATGCCATTGCCAAGCTCCGAGAACTCGGCATCGTCCTCGGAACCTTGCACTGAGGGGCTAGGACGCTTTTCGTTTCCACTGAGTCGCTGCTTTAGGCAATGACCCAGAGCCACGGTACCAAATCTTCTCCACACGCCGCATGTCGGCAACGATGAAACATAACGCCAGTGAGGGACTTGGACTAGAGAGTTGGATCTGTCATATGAAGACTTGTAAGTACCCTCTGCGATGCAAGGTCCTTGAACTGAATTCGAAAATGCTTGAGTTGAAGCCTTGCATCCTGAAGTCCCGATAGCCATTTCCTGAACAGCCTCAGGCAAAGACGAACCAAGGTTTCTGGAGGGAACGCCCCAGAGCGCGACCTTGGCCACACCAAGCGATGAACCTCCAATCGAATTACCTAAGCGACACTGCGTCGGCTTTCTGCAAGCACAATGCATTCTCCGGCAGCTTCGGGTCGCTTTGAAGGGACCTCCGGCAGCCCTAACGGCAGGAGAAATTGGCGCGACGAAGGAAGCCTAGTAGATGTCGTATACTGGTTAAAAAGCAACACACTATGGTAGGAGTATTAAAAGCAACTAAAGGCAACAAGACCAGGTTGGCGATGAGCACTAGCAGAACAGGAACAGTCGTCATTGCCGTCATCACCGTCGTCGACGAGGCGCCGTCTTAATCGTCGTAGCCGTCGTCGCAGTCGTAGTCGTCGTCGCAGTCGTTGTGGTCGTCGCAATAGCCATAGTAGCCGTAGCCTAGCCGTAACCCGTGGTAGCCGTAGTGATTGTGGTAGTAAAGGCAGGAGTAGGGAGAAATAGTAGGGGTAGGGGTAGCAGTTGGGTAGCAGTAATAGTAGGTAGCAGCAGTAGTAGTAGTAGTAGTAGTAGGAGTAGGAGTAGGAGTAGGAGTAGGAGTAGGAGTAGGAGTAGGAGTAGGAGTAGGAGTAGGAGTAGAGTAGGAGTAGGAGTAGGAGTAGGAGTAGGTAGTAGTAGTAGTAGTAGTAGTAGTAGTAGTAGTAGTAGTAGTAGTAGTAGTAGTAGTAGTAGTAGTAGTAGTAGTAGCAGTAGTAGCAGTAGCAGTAGCAGTAGCAGTAGCAGTAGCAGTAGCAGTAGCAGTAGCAGTAGCAGTGCAGTAGTAGTTGTAGTAGTAGTAGGGGTAGCAGTAGCAGTAGCAGTAGCAGTAGCAGTAGCAGTAGCAGTAGCCGTAGCCGTAGCCGTAGCCGGAGCCGGAGCCGTAGCCGTAGCCGGAGCAGGAGCAGGAGCAGGAGCAGGAGGAGCAGGAGGAGCAGCAGCAGGAGCAGCAGGAGGAGCAGCAAGAGCAGCAGAAGCAGCAGGAGCAGCAGGAGAAGCAGGAGCAGCAGGAGCAGCAGCAGCAGCAGCAGCAGCAGCAGCAGTAGTAGTAGTAGTAGTAGTAGTAGTAGTAGTTGTTGTTGTTGTTGTTGGCACCCCCCTACCAACTACACTTGCTCTCAACCATGTTAAGACAACATCCACTTTACTCGGTATTTACGGTACTTTCGTCATGTGCGATCATCCTAAGAGGCCTAAAAATCGACTTGTCGAGTTTGCAAACTCGGGCTCTTGATTTTGGACTTGCTTCTGGGGGTGGGTCGGGGGGTGGGGGGGGGGGGGATGATGACGACAGTGTTACGCGAACACACCCAGCAGTATCACCACAAGAGCCGTTTAACTCGGTATTTACGGTACTTTCGTGATGTCAGACTTTGTTACATATTCTGAGCCCCTACTTCTCGACTATGCGTATTAAACTTTGCTGCTTGGAACTGATTGCAAAAAAACTCGAAATTGGGTGGGGGAAAGCTTCTTCGGGGATCATCACGACACTGTGTTGCGGACACCCTGAACAATATTTCCACACTCAAGCGCGCACACACCACACACACACACACACACACCACTTGAAAAACAGACCCTCCTACGCAGAGGTTGGGCGGTAGGGGTGTTGGCGAGCCCCTCCCACGTACAGCTGGCATCTTTGTTTTTGATGTTTAGAAGATGTTGCGCTTCAGGTTTTAGAAATGCTAAACCCTTCTTGGCAGCACCTGGGTTTTGCACGGTATTTACAGCGTTTTCGTACTATCCGACCACCTGGGGTTTATCAGTTCCCCGTCGAGCTTGCAACTCCAGCTGCTGTCGCAGCTTTGGGGCCTGAGCCCCTGCAACTTCACCGGCTGTGACAGTTAAGGAAACTGAGCCTCTGCAACTTCTGCAGCTGTCACAGATAAGGAGCCTGAGCCGTGCATCTTCTGCAACTATCGCAGTTAAGGCGCCTAGCAGCTACCGCTGCCCAGCCCGGATGGAACAAGTGTAGTTGGGAGGGGGGGGTGGCTAGTTGTTGTTGTTCTTCTTCTTCTTCTTGTAGTTGTTGTTGTAGACGACGACAACGTCTTCTGTCGGGTAATGGTTTCGATGATCTGTCTATGTGCACATGATCTGAACAAGAACAGGAAATACAGAGAGCGGCACAAAAAGACTTCTGAACAGCACAATGTGAATAAAGTACGTCGCCGGGCAAAATGCGCCCGCAACATCGTAGTACTTGTATTGTCCGCTTGCTTCCGCGGCCACTGCCAGCCGGACGGATCCCACAGCTAAGTAGTTTAGCGGTAGCAGTCGTAGTAGTAGCTGTAGTCGTAGTCGTCGTGGAAATGGTAGTGGTCGTAGTCGTGGTAGTGTGGAGTAGGGCTAGGAGTAGAAGCAGCAGTGGCAGTTGCAGCAAAAGCGGCGGCAGCAGCGGCAGCAGCAGCAGCAGAAGCATCAGCGGTGGCGGCGGGGATAGCGGTAGCGGCAATAATAACAGCACCAGCAGCTACAGTAGTTACTAGTAACAGGTGTAGAAAGAAGATGAAAGAAGATACCATGGCAACAGCAAGTCAATGCCAAGGCCGGCACCACCTGGCCATCACCGACGAGGGGTAGGGGCCTTGCTGGCGACCAGCGGCATCTTTGTAGAACCACTGACCTCAAAGCTGGTGCAGGGTTGAGGGATCAGGGTTTGCTGGCGTCAATTGCAGAAGGATTAGCATTGACAGTCCTGCTGAAATTCAATTTTGATGCTACTTTTGAGCTCAACCCAGAAGGAGCTCTCAAGCTTGCTGATGCTTTGCTCGACCCGAAAACCACTGTGAAAACTCGGATCCACGAACTTTCAGTTCCACCTCCTAAGTTACACCACCAACCTGCGATGCAAACTGTCTACTTTGGATTTTGGGGTTATGAGCTATACTTGAGGAATCTTGAGGTCTAAGGCAGAAGCTACTAGGGGGTTAAGGAGTATAAGGTGCCATCAACCTCTGGCATTCCAAGCCGTGAAACGGAAAGACCAAGACGTTGGCACCAGGATTGTTCACTGCTTTGGAATGACAAAGTACATGGTTGCGGCACTTAGGGAATTCGGCTGCTGAAAAGGCCGCGGCTTTCCAACAAAAGCAGGGGTTGGCGCAAGTGCCGCTACATTCAAGATCATCACTCCGAGACGCTGGCGTTCCTCCACAGGTGCTGCCTGTGCCCAAGGAGCGAGGTTTAAGCTTCAGTGGCGCAATCTTCAAATAGCTTTATGACCATTGGCCTCCTCAACTGAAGGCGCAGATGCATCCTGAAGCAACGGCTCACGACAAAAGCCCATCCCCATAGTCCTGCACAACACCAGAACCTGGAGCTTCAATCGACTCTGTCTCTCTCGCTGGAGGCTCAGGCTTGTGCCATTCCCCCTGTGCATCCGTACTGCGCCATGGTCCTCTCTCTCTCTGTGTCTCTTTGCTTTGTGGCCCGCGCACTAGTGCAACCCCATCCAACATTCTGTTTGCATGGGCTCGGCTGCAGAAGGAGAGGGAACTCGGGAAAAAGGTCCTCTCTCTATCTCTCCTTCTGTCGCCGGGGCTATGGTATATCTCTCTCTCTCTCTCTCTCTCTCTCTCTCTTCTTTCGCAAGGGAAAGGGGATAAGGAGCGACCTTCCACCCGCTGCGTCCAGGATGGGGGCATGTTCAGCTGCCGCACTGGAAAAGGCAGAAATGCAAATGCAAGGCACAGGGAGAAATTCCAACCACAGAAGTAGAAGAACCCCCGGCAAGCGGTGTAGAAAATACGATTTAAGCAGCAAAGTTGCGCTAACGTCTTTTCGCCAGCCCAGGCATGCTGTTGTTGGCGAGCCGCCTTGGGCGAGCCGTGTGAGGCACTGCGAAGCCCAAGCGGCCCCATTCTCACAACTGCTCTAGGCAGCTGTAAGAAGAGGGTCGCCAGCAAGCTCCAAGAAAGAAACGGGAGGGCGGGTGGGCAAACTTGAGCAACGGCAAAAAGAAGGATGCTCCCACAAGCAGCTTACAAGATCAAGCAGCAAAGTTGCGCTAACGTCTTTTCGCCAGCCCAGGCATGCTGTTGTTGGCGAGCCGCCTTGGGCGAGCCGTGTGAGGCACTGCGAAGCCCAAGCGGCCCCATTCTCACAACTGCTCTAGGCAGCTGTAAGAAGAGGGTCGCCAGCAAGCTCCACACAGTTCCCTCGCAGGAGCCCAGTAGAAGAAAGAATCCCAGCCAAACCTTGCAGTTGCTCAAGAAGAAGGTCGAGGGCGAAGCAAGAAGTACCACGCACTGCAAGGGATACAATTGCGCTCGAAGAAGGTGACCCGCTCGAGGATCTCGGTAAAGTCACCTGCCCAGGCTTCGACGCGAGCACAAACTTCAGCAGGCAAAGCCGGCAGAAAAGTGATCGCCACGACCTCTTGCAAATATATATCCGTAACACGTAGTGAGAGCCAGCGGCCCCTCCGGCGCACTAGCTCAGAGTTCTCAGTTAAGCCCAGCATCCATGTGGCGCCCCCCGAACGGAAGGAACTAAGGTCGAAGACAGGCTTCCCGTCGCTCACCAAGCCGACACGCTCCTGCAGTTGCTCCAAGCGGCGCGGCCGGAGCGTCGCAGCAGATTGCCGCCAAAGCCGGGCTGAAGGTGGCAGAGGACCCAGGATAATGTCAGCCAAATGAATGATGTCGGTGGGGTCCACGCGGGCACTCTGGTGCCTGGCCGCCCTGCCCCTAGTCTGAGGGTTCCTGATGGAGATCAGAGCATGCGTGGTTCTCGGCAGAGTCTCTAGGCAGTATCAAGTCGGACCGTCTTGCGGCTAAGATCTCCCCAGGACGAAGCAGCCCCGCCCAGGCTAGGCCAAACAAGGCCGCCCAATTCCAAGCCAAAGCAGCAGCCAGCAGTGCTAGGAGGATGCCGAGGGGCATCGCCTTGTGGTGGCAATGAGGCTCCTCTGTAAGCCAAGCAAAGGCCAGGTCCCAAGCATAAGACAGGCCCCTCCGCAGAGAGTGCTTCAGTGAGGCCACACCATTGATCGTCTCGCTGTACTTATAGTAAAGCTGCCCAGCTCGAAAGAGAGCCTGGCCGTAGGCAACCAAAAGACCTGAGACACGATCGGCTGCATTATCGGAGAGGAAGGAGGCCTCGAGGGTGGTACCACGGTGTTCCAGAAGCCAGCTCTCGAAAGCTGCAATCAGCTTGGCGCGGTTACTCCGCGTGACAGGCCTAACCACACGATCAGCGACCAGAAGGATAGGCTCATGGCGCCGTGCGCGGTCCAGCTCGGCAGGAGTAGATGGTGCTATTGTGGAGCCTAAGCGAAGCCCAACCCTCACCAGGAAATCCAAAAGTGGAGTCGAAGTCCAACGGGAAATGAGGCAGTGCTAAAGTCCACGGCAGGAGGAGAAAAGGCTCAACTGCAAACCAAAGGCAGGAGCCGGCACGCAGGAAAAGCGCACGAAAAGAGGGTGGCTCAACCACATGTCGAAAGGAGTGGGAGCCTGCACACAGAGAAGGAGAAAAGCGGCCCAGGAAGCCGGGAGAGGTGGCTGAGCAAAAGTGCGGCCCCAGGTCGAGACCATCGCTCAATCCAGGCAACAGCAGCCAATCTCAGCGACGTCAAGCAAGAAAGGCACGGAGGGTCGAGGGCTAGGCTTTTGGGGCTCCTCAAGTGGGTCCTCCTCTTCTGGCTGGACGCCAGCCGCCTTCAGCAAGGTAGCAGGGCCTTCCTCAAGCCTGGTGTAGGCCCCTCGACGGTCACCATTTTGCCAAGGCTGCGTGCAACCGATTTCTCAACAGTGCAGCCGCAGATCGCCCCCCGGGCTAAGGAGCCATCGGTGGCATATATGCGAGAAGCTTGCTCAGCAGTTAGGGGACCGAAGAGAGCACAAGCTCCTCAGCCAAGCGCCGGCTGAGACGCACCGGCTTCCGGGAGTTAGCAGGGTCCTTGGAGCCAGCAGTTGACAAAGCAAAGGTCTCAGCAAGCAGGGCCATTAGGCAGCGCCGGTAGAGGAAGACAGAGACCCATGCAGGCACCGGACAGGCGGGCAATGAGGCCGGGCGTGGTGATGCGAAGCCTGGCGGCTCGAAGGCTCAAAGCGGCAAGTGCTGTCCTGCGCTCAAGTGGGGCAGCAGCGGTCACCAGGCCAGAGGTAACAACACAGGATGAGAGTCGATCTCAGTGCCGATGGCTTTGAAAAGGGAGGAGCGATCCCTGCACCCCATGCTCAGCATATGCCCGGTCGGCCTAGCATGGAGGTCTCTGGCATGCGAGAACCCAGCAGGTGGGGCGGAAGCAGGAAGGACGCTCAAAGACACAAGGTCATCTATGACCAAATAAGCTTGCACAGTGTCCCGCAGTGGAAAAGCGGCTCGGTTCCGCAACCTGGAACTGAGTAGAAGCAAGGGGTCCATGTGCGAGGAGGCCCCTTGGGATCGCACAGCACAGAGCGGGGCCTCAGCAATCGGCTCGGCTCAGGGATTTCGGTTCATGGGAAATGAAAGGCCAGGGCATTCGTGGCAGCCCGTTCTTCAGTAATCCCAAACTGGTTGTAAAAATCCTTTAACCGAGGGACCTCGAGGGCAGTCAAGAGAAAGCCCGGTGGCAACCGGCTGCTTGGACCGGTAATCTGGCGTTCGCCGGCATTTGGGAGACGCCGGTCTCCGATCTGCGTAAGGTCCTTAAAAGAGTTAAAGACCCTGCAGCGCATGTTGCAAGGAGGGGCTCCAGGGAGGATGCCCAGCAGGCCGCGAGTCGACGTCTGGCAGATCGAGATGCCCAATGTCCCTTCCATGCAACAGACAGCCCGGCTCGACAAAAGGCAGCCAAAGCAGGCCTTGGATCCAGCGCTCGGCTTGCCAAGAGCCCTGACCAGAGAGCTTCAGTCTATCGGTGCAAAGGGGTGAAGTTGCGGCAGGTCCGGCGCAGCAACACGTGGGACGGCGCCTTCTCGCAGAGAACGGCGAGGAGGGTCAGTATAAGCACAACTCGGCTCGGCAACAAAGGCCCGCCGAAGGCGCAGGGAGGACCCGGGTTCAGGTGTGCAGCCATGAAGAGGCAGAGCAGGCCCCAGAGTCCAGAACCACATTGGGCAAAGGTCCCGGCAAAGGCCTCGGGCTCAAAAAGACAAGCAAGGCTCTCGGGCCCAGAGCGGCCCGGAGGAAGAGGGAACCCCTCAGGCCGAGAGTCACACGCGACTTGGAAACTCCAGAGGCGGGCATATACCTCCTTCTGGTGTGCATTCGGTTCCCTCCTTAGCAGCTCAAGCGGTGGAGGCAGGAGTCCTTCGTAGACATAGTTGAGCGCAGGCAACATGTAGGACCCGGCGCAGGCGCAGGCGGCGCCAAGCAGACGATGAGAGCTTAGGGCCACTCCCCAGGAAGATGCCTAAGTGAGGCAGGGGAAGCGGAAAAGTCGCAGAAGGAGGGGAAATAGCTGGCTGGCGAAAGAAAACGTGGCGCACAAAAGCCATGCAAAAGAGGTCCGGGACCGAGCGACCCAGCGAGGGAGGGCGGCTGCCCACTCACGAAAAGTCACAGTGGCCTCGAATTGGTTGCGGAGCTGAGAGGGATTAGTGATTAGTGGAACCAGGCAGGCCAAATAAACCTTCAAAGGTGGCGCCAGGGGAACCCGAGAAACTATGGGCAGCAGGAGAAGAAGCGAGGGGCTCAAAGGCATCCCACACAGCATGCCCATGAGCAACAGCAGGGGCCTGACAGGGCAAGGCCGCGGCAGATATGGTACAGGGGCCACCGAGGACACCCGAAGCACAGGGCTGAAAAGCAGGAGCCGGAGAAGGCCAGGGCTTCACTACGTAGGCCTGGAAGTCCTCGCCGTCGTCCTGGGTGGCACCTTGCGGTGGAGCCGGCTGGCTCTTTCTCATCTCTGCCCGCTTGGTCTGTATCGTATCTATTTCAAAAAAGGAAGGCTAGAACCACCGCCACCCTAATGGGGCGAAAGCCCTGGTGCGCAAGTGCAAGCTCGTCCGGCTGCTCTTGGCGGTGAACATCGCGCTCGGCGGGTCCTCCAACCACGTGAGTTGAAAGCCAAGCTCGGACCTCCCGGCGTCCATCGACATTTGTTCTAAGCACACGGCAAGCAGCGCGGTGTGGTCTGATGCCTGCTCGATCCTTCCCGCTTGCATGCAGTCGAGGATTTGGGCAACACTGTGCGCTATGGTCCCCAGGTCGCGCTGCCCGGCAAAGCCTCCGAAGCGTTCCCAATACCGGGAGAGACAGATGCCGCTCTGAAGAAGCTCGTGGGGATCGGCGGCCGGCTGGACCGCAGATGCCATTCTCCTG